CCATCCAGGCAAATTCAGGGCACACCGTGGCCACGTCAACCCCACCCCGGTTGACCTTGAAGCGAAGGCTGCGAAGGTGCAATGACACGCGCCGGGTGATGGACTGTTCGTCGCTTGTGCTTTCGCTGGAAATCTTGGGGCCAAGGGCTCCGCTGCTATGGGTGGGTATAGCAATTCATTTCTTTCAGTGCAGAAAGTAGAAAAGAGCAGATAATGATATTATGATACTGGTAGCTTATCTCTGATGTTCAGTGAAATATCATTAAGGGTATTGAAGTTGGGTGAAGTTTCCGCCGGCGTTACGCTTGGTCATGGAGTCATGATCCGTGTCTCCCGGCAGCCACCAACTGAGTGAAGCCCGGCGGTGGCGATGTGCACGTTTTTCGGCAGGGACCTACTGAGGACCACTGGTTCTACACGACAATCTGCCAGAAAGTGAAACTTCTGACTTCTACTGAGCAAGTCCAAGTCCCTCAAGTCTATTTGCGCTGGTTCTGGTTTGATCTGCAGGGTACTAAGAAAGCCTGTCCATGAGACTAATTTCTGTTGGCTTTATTGAATTAGCGGGAGAAGCAAAGGGATTTCTGGCAAAAACAGCTCCTTAAAATCACAGCCTTGCAGAAGTTGTGCATTGATCCTGGGTTTAAAACAGCTAAAAAAAAACACCTTTCCACCGCGAAACCTTTTCCAGGTGCTTTGAGCATGCAAACGAAAGCCAGTGTTTGATGAACGTCTCATCAACCGCCCCCAAACAAGGTCTTAGGAAGGCCTGTTCCGGTAAAAATGTCGTGGCCATTTGGGGTCGGCTACCCTCAAATGAAATTCCCAAAGAAATGAGACCTATCCACTCCTGAAGGCGCATCCCCGGCTGAAATGAGCCCATGTTGGGGCTTCCCTTCCTAGCCTTCCTAGCCTTCCTAGCCTTCCTAGCCATCATGTACCTGTCGGGCTGATTCTGAGGCGCCACGATCGTTTTTTTGCTTCACCACGGGCAGATGCAGCGGGAAAAGATTGGATGTGCCGGACGCACTTTCTGCCTACGCTGCCCGCGGAGCACGGACGGAATCCGTTGGTCACTTGGATGAGTGTCGCAAATCAGAAAATTGGTAAAGACCTACGACACTGGGACTACAAAAAGAAACATGTAGATAGATCGCTTCAATAATATGACAATGTGATAAATCACCTTGGCTACAACCCAGTGAGATAGAAGATGGGAATTTGCGAACCATGGCAACTATCCACTTGCGAAGTTGAGCAACTGATGTCGGTCACCATGGGAATATCAGATGATTTCACCCGCTTGGCATCTCTTGGCTAACCTTGGAGCCTTGGATCGATAGAAAAGAGAGCAGGATATGACAATGCTCCATCTACAAATCAACCCATCAACCATTCATGAAGGTTTACCTAGAGGTACTGTTCTCATCCGAGCAACGTGGCTCGTTGTGGGGTCTGGCCACGACACGACTCTCACGCAAAACCGTTGTGAAACGACGGGCGCCACAGCACCTGAAAAGTCCGGTGGATTTGGGCTTTTCCATGCGGGGGTACCTCCTGGGTACCCCAAAATGGAGGTTTCTAATGAAGAATCCAAAAAAAAATGGATGAATTTAAAGGTACCCCAAGGTACCCCAATGATTTAGGACACCTCCATTTGGTCCTTCGGAATCTGAGATTCGTCTCCTTGGACTTCAGGTCCGGCCAACGTCAGCACTCAGCTGATCCCAAACCTGGTTTTTGACTCGATGTGAAGCAGCAAACTGGTAATTCCACCTGGAACCCAAGACTGCTCATGTACTCATGTTAGGATAAATCATGATAAATCCGTGTCCAGCTCGATGTTTTGGGGTTCCATAGGCCCGTAGGTGGTGAATTTGGGGGTGTGGCAAGTTTGTTTCATGGATCTGAATCCATACATCATCTTTGTGTTATCCAAGTAGCACCTGATTCTCCTATCTCAGCTATCTCACTTGCAAGGACCATTGTGAGTCTTCATCATCCAACATATCTCCTGCTCATCCTCGGAAAGGGTAAAGGAAGGTGAAGGGCTGCACTGCAACACCTAGTCAGTACTCAAATGTATGCAAAATATTGATACGCAGGAAGAGAGACAGACAGACAGACAGACAGACAGACAGGCAGGCAGGCAGGCAGGCAGACAGGCAGACAAGCCGATAGATAGATAGATAGATAGATAGATAGATAGATAGATAGATAGATAGATTGATTGATAGATAGATAGATAGGTAGGTAGGTAGATAGATAGATAGATAGTAGGTAGGTAGGCAGGCAGGCAGGTAGGTAGGTAGGTTGGTTGGTTGATTGATTGATTGATTGATTGACAAACAGCCAAACAGACGGACTGACAGACGGACTGACGGACAGATAGACAGATAGACAGATAGACAGACAGACAGACAGGCAGGCAGGCAGCCAGGCAGACGAATGTTGAAAAAGTGTATGAAAGTGTGCATGTGTGCAGTATCGTGTAATGCAACCAAATGCAATGGAATGTAAGTGAACGGAATCTAGCAGGACCAAACGCAAAGCAACCTGATGCAATGTACTGCAATGCAAGTAATAATTATAATGTATATATGTATAATATATGTATATATACATATATTATACATACATACATTGTATATATACATATATATGATTATATGTATACATACACATATGTATATATATATATACGTCCATATTGTATATGTGTTAGTGTCTATTTGGATTGGTGATCCCCAGTTCTTTTGCTCTAAAACACACCACCCGTTCAACCAGTTCAACCCGCTGGGATCTCCAGGCCACTCCCCTGCAGATACGCCAAGAAGGCCTGAGCTCTTCAGCAATGGTTTTAAAGATGTTCTACTAAATTAGTATTGCTGTTATTCTTCTGAATGATCTTAATGTGATGATGAGATGAAGATGATGATGATGATGATGATGATAAATATCCCTGTCAACTTGGGGATGTCCCCTCCCAGCGACACAGTCAGACCAAATTGCCGGTATCTCCAACCCAGCAGCCCGCAAAAGAGGACATGGAAAACAATTTGGGTCTGTCAAAACTCGGTGATACCTCCAAATCGCAAACTTAAACGGTAAAAATTAGGACAAACTGTTAAACCATCAGCTTTTGGCGTACCCCATTTTCAGACAAACTCCTTTGGCAACAGTGGACATGTTGTGATCCGAGTCTTTCAGCTGCAACAGATCAGCAGGTCCTGGGGCCCCATCAAAATCTGAGTAATGTGGTGCAGAGCCAATAAACAACCATCCCCAATAAAGTCTGGTTTTCTTTATATCAAAAATATGATCTTCCTTCCAAATGGGTGATCTTTTTTTAGAAGCCCAAATGGTTGACCATCTGCTGGTTTATTCTTGGATTTACCACATCCAACTCTCAGCATCCCAGGTCGCCGCCGGGTCACGTTCAATCCTCTGGGTCGCCGAGGCAATTTCACCCCTGCTTGCCGTTGCCGCAACGGGAGAGAGGGCCCCTCTCTTCGTCAGCTTTTTGGAGATTTCACGATTTGATGGAATTAAGTTGCCGTGGAACCGTTCGTTGCATCATTTTTATGTTGGGCCCGAGTTGCATCATAAATCCCTAGTTCTTTGACAAAAATGGATTTATGATGGATATATCATATATCTATAGTTAGACAGGAAAAAAATAACAACTTGTAAGGGTTGGGGGGGCCTTCCTGTTTGTTATGTAGGGATTCTTCACTACCATAGGGAAACAACCATGTCATTTTTGATTGTTTGAGTTTTCAAGTACATGAAAGTACAGTATGTAGTGCTGAGTGGCATCGTAAAGATTGTACTGACGATCTCTTCGTGTCTTCAGGGTCTGCGCACGTCGCTTGTGTTTCTTCTATCTGGTGAACTCTGGGTGATCCCAATCCCAGCTGTTGGTGCTATACTTTTATCACAAATGGCTTCGGAAAAATGTGATACCAACTCTGAACCACTGGTGTCCCCTTTTAAAAGGACCAGTTTGACTTGGATATCTTGAAGGATTTCTGGTGTCCCCTATGACTTAAGAAACCACAAAATGGCTGGCCCAACTGCTGCGCCATGGCCACAACAGCGCCTGCCTTGTGCGACACTGCCACACCGCTCCGAAAAATTCGTCAAAGCCCTTCTTGCCTCATGCTCGAGGGCAATACTATCTGAAAGGAGAATTGAGAAAAGAAGATAGGATAAGGGATGATTTTCGGGATTGAACCGACCAAAGTGGACTTTTTTTTGGGCCACCATGGGCCACCACACTTTTTTTCGACTTGAAAAAAGTGAACGCCCCAGCCCAAGTTTCACAGATTGAACAGCGACCTGCTAGGGACCTGCCAGGGTCCACACTGACAGGGAACAGCTTGTGCTTTCGCATGGGTTCCATACCTCGGCGCATGGGTTTCCGGTTCCAAACCAGATCAAACAGTTGAAACACAAAACCAAAAGTGCGACAAAAATCTACAAAAAACGACAAAAAAAAAACAAAAGGCATCAAAAGGCGATGTTTTTTTAAAAGCAAAAGTAGCTGCACAATACTGACAGCTCTGGACATCGCAAGAGCAGGGAGGAAGGAATGAGTCAGGAGGAATCAGTGCGTATCACAACATATATGCTACGAAAAAATGGACCCATGCCCATATGGCTGCGTCTCCAATTTGTTTTGTGTCCAATTCATGGCAGTTTGCGAGAAAATGATGTTCTCAACTTCTCAATGGCCGGATTTGGGTGGGGTGGCAATTTCAGATCAACTAACGACACCCTCCCGAAACTGAGTCGCATAAAATCGCCATGCACCGTGAAAAGTTATTGCTCGGCAGCCCGGCAGGCAGAGGCAAAAAGAGGGCCAAGCACTGCGCGAGCCTTCCAAGGTCGACTTTAAAAAATGAAAAGGTCCAAAAAAATGAAAAATATTGGTGAATGATGATTAAGCAGTGGATTTAGAGGGTGCTCCCATAAATTTCTCAGACGAACCCAAACGTTCACGCCTTGGCAGGATCCGAAGCAGGAGTCTTGCTCCTCAGCTATGGAGGTCTGAGATGGTAGTGTCTGGTGAATGGGTCAGAATGAGGGTTCGAACTGTTTGAACCTTACTAATGGAAATCTAGGAATTGACGGCACGTCCACCCCCCGTCCGAGCCCTCCGGCTTTGTGAGGCTTTTCTGAAAGGAGTCACTCTTCAACGACTCTTCCACGTCCTCCCAAGGTGGGTCGAGGTGGAATATCATGGAATATCCTACTGTGGAGCTTCAGAATCAGATGAGTGCTCCTAGTTGAACAAAGGAGTCAGATCAAAGTGAAACAGATTGGGGTCACCAAACATGTTAGGTTCTGTACATTGGCTGTTCTTGACCTGAGGAATTCAGCGGATCCCATTTCTATGACGATTGAAGGCCGGGTAGATCCGGGTAGTTTTCATCCAGACGGATCAATTGTGTAGTGAATTTCTCTTCAGCATGTTTGGGGTATAGGTAGGCACACCAGGTTTGACACATACCATACTCCACTGTATGGGTGCCTATACATGTAGGTGTATAAGTATATTTATTCACATGTACAAATGTACATAAGTTATATGCACTCTACATAATCACATGTCTATACATACATAATACATATATATATATATGTATATATATACATATATATATACATATACATATATATATATACAATATACATATATATATATATATATGTGTGTATATAATGATATATATATATATATATGTATATACATATATGTATATACATATATGTATATACATATATGTATAGACATATGACTCTGTCAGTATGTATATACATCATGTCATTGTTCCACGCTTTCATGGCAATTTCGCGTGCCTTTAAGAGCCGCAGGAGGTCGTTTTGCTCCGACAGTGAGATGACCTGCAGTCGTCAGCGATGGTCACCCGAGGCCGTGGAAAAAAAAACGATGGGGATCATATCGCCTACAATGTGGGGCCCCCCAGTTATAAATTGTTTTATAAGCCCCATTAACTATAGTTATAAGTACCATAAATCTGCCTACTATGGATTGGTGCGGGATGTTTACCAATGATGGGATTGTAGTGGTTATACATGGTTATACTGGGACTAATATCATACAACTAGTTGGAAACTATGAAGGTAACTTTCTGAAACACCGTAAAGAATGGGATTAAAATGGGATGATTACCATTTACCAACTGGTGCAGGATTTCGCTGGCCCATCCACCATATCATGTAAGAAATTGTGGATTCAACGACGATACATGATGGGAAGAGTTTTTGACATAGAGATATAATGGGATAAATAACTAACTCAATATCATGGACGGTGGTTAAACCATCAAAACACGCGTTTCAACCAGGATTGATAATGGGGTTTGACCGAAGGATTTTTTTGTGGTTACAACAACAACTTATGGAATATAATGATGGTATAATGGGTAAGGGGAGGGGGTACAAACAACTTAAGACTATATCTGGGTTTGTGCAAAAATGGTGAATATATCCCTAATTTGTTGCCATGCAAAAATGATGAGCAACGGTGGAATTTTGGTGCATCCAATTTTAAGACAAACCCACGTGGGAACATGAAATTCTCGCGTTTCCATGTTGGCAAAGTTTCTATGTGTTTCAGGGAAACACGTGTGGAAAACCCGATGTGGTTCAGCAATAAATGGAACTGCAACATTGCCATGCGCAAACAAAGGCAAAATATCATAGAAGTCGATTCATCTACACGCGAGGGTGGAGTCATCAGTGAGCATGGCACAATTGTCCAAGTGAATAAGATGTGTATATATATATATTCGTCTCATCAGAAGTGCCTCTCATGCCTCATCCTGACGCCGGCGCCGAGTTAAACCACAACTTTGCCAAAACAACCTCCTTTATGACTATCTGGCGGCAAAGGCCATCTGAATCAACGTTCACTCCGCCATGCGAGATCAACAATTAGGGTGCGGCCGAAGACACAAACAACTCCCTTTGGCAAACCCCAAACCTTGAACCCTTCGCAACAAAAAAAATCGCTTTGGTTGAGGAATTAAGGAATGAATACATAATTATATAGTCTGCATTTGAACTAATGTTCTTTCCTCCTTAAACATCCTCAACTGAAATAAAACATTTTTCCGAACTCAAATGCAGAAAAATCAAGGTTGAAGGCCAAGGTTTAGGTCCAAAAAATAAGGGAAAATGAGGGCTTGGCTACAACTAAGGGGCAACTAAGACCTAGAGTTTTTCTACCAAAAGTCTGTCTTTGAAGGGTTGGGTTCCAAATCTTGACCGAAACCATTTACGAGCAGTAAGAGTACGAGTTGTACCAGTAGTACTAGTAGTGTTACTACCCAGCGTAGTACTAGTCAAAGTAATACTATATATTTACTATATAACAGTAATGAAATATGAATAGGAATAATGATAATAATCATCATCATGTAGTAAATCACAATAATCATAATCACCAGACTAGAATGATCATGGGGTTTTGACCCTCCGGTGTAGAGCTTAACATTCCTCGCACGGGTCATCAGAAACCTTGAGATCAAAGGGAGGTAATTCAACTCGGTCTACCTCCTGTAATCAGTTCCATGGCGTGCTGGAAAATCCACCAGCAATAGTTCCATGATTTTCCCAGCTATAGACCTCCATTAAGACCTCCATTTGCATTTCAGCTGGCCATGATTTCCGGCTCTCGAAACGGCACCTTGCTCTCTACGGCATCGCTCCTAGGAATTCACTGGGAAATAACACCATCAACCAATGGGATTGCAGTAAAATACCACAGTGAATAGCCGGCCTGGTAAACGTCAAACATAGCTATTGAACATGGTGATTGAAATAGTGGATTTACCCATTGAAAATGGTGATTGAAATAGTGGATTTACCCATTGAAAATGGTGGATCTTTCCATAGTTATGTTAAATTACCAGTGAATAAGTACAATGTTGAAGGGTCAATGCTCCCCAATGGCCTATTCGCTTTTGGCTGTAACAAAGAAAATGAACCCATCGCACAATAATTGTGCGGACCCTGGCTGGATATTGTTAGCAGGTTCTGCCACATTTACTGTTGATTATATCCCCATGGCTTGTACATCAAGAAAAATATGGGACAATAAATAGGAAATTACACATCAATATGCCATCAACAAAATGGGAATGTCATCATTTGTTTGATAACATTTACAATAAAACATCAACAAATGGGAATGTCATCATTAAATTGACATATCATCCAAATGACATATCATCAACCAAAAAGTTGACATAGTATCAATAAATGACAATAACGAATGATGATATACCTTCTTTAAATTGACATATCAACACGTCCCAGCACCACGTCCCCATCAACTCGTCCTCTCACTGGGTAAATCTCGTCCCAGGAACCTTGGAGAGATATCAATATCTACATCTAAATGGAGTGTCGTCTAATGTCAGTGTAATTTAATTTCATTTTATGTCATGTACATCTATATATATATACATATCTATATATCTATATATCTATATATATCTATATATCTATATATATATATATATCTATATATCTATATATCTATATATCGATATATCTATATCATATATATATATATACACATATCTAATATCTTTACATATATATATAGACACGTTGGGTACCTATAGATCTACACCCCAATGAATAACCTTGTGACCTTGCGACCCATTCAAGATGCTAGATCTTACCAGCTCCGCAACGCTGCTAGATGCTGCTAGCCCGCCCACGGCCCGCCCCTTCTGCTTCCAGGCTGCAAGAATTCTCGTCGACCTTTCAACATTTCACTGTCCAGCAAGCTGGCAAAACCTTGACCAACACCTCAGCGCTGCGGGGGATCCACCTGAAGGGGTGGATAGCTGGCACCTGAATATGGGACCTGAAGCCTAGCGTCGCGTAGCATTTGGGACCCCAAAAACCCAAAAACGCGCCATGGAAGATGAGTTTCCGGCTGAGTCTTCGATGTGAAATTTTCCAAATGCAAATCTACATGATACCTTGATGGTCCTTGGAATCTCATGGTGGCTTCCCATTCTGAACGCCATCCCTTCTGAAAAACCCCCAAAGATGCCACAATAATCACAATACCATGAGAACGGGCCACAAAGAGTGTAGTGCAGTGTCGTTCCAGGCAACATCTTTACGTGTCTGTACACACAATTCATTGTTTCAGCATTGGCTATCACGTTATGTGTATATATATATATATAATGTATGTATGTATATGTATAATGTATGTACGTATGTGTATATATATATATATATATGTATGTATATACGTAGAATATACTCGTATATACTCTGCATTTTTGTTCTGTTCCCAGCAAAACTGCTGTGTGTGTGTGTGTTTCAGCTGGCGATCAGCCGAAGGCACGCTTCACGATCTTGCAATTGGGCAAAGAGCTTTCACTTAGCCTCTCTGGAGCGGAGGAACAAAATCTACGACTTATAACTAGGTTATAACTGGCTTTAGGGGGGATATAATGATATAACAATATATATATATAACTATGGTACAACTATGATATAACTTAACTATAGTTGATGGTTTGATGAACCAACAGACACAACTGGGGTCCTCACCTTGTACCATCATTTGGGGATAATGATATGGGTATTCTATGGATATCCGCTACCCCAACGAAGTCCTGCCTACCCATCGCGGCTTTTCTCAGTTCCAGAATCTTGCAAGTCTCGCTCACAGTCAGTACCAAACCTCGGCGCCGAGCTTGGGATTCAGCGGCTCGTCCACGGGTAGACCGCACCCCAAAGTGATCATGGAATCGGGAAAGTGATGAAGTGATGGTAAACCAGCAGATTTTGGTGCTACATTTTTCGGAGATCAAGTTGAAGTGGCTGGCTCTTCTCGGATTTCCGGGGATCGAAACCACCAAGAATGGGATGGGTCAAATTCGGGCGTCCAGAAGAGTCTTGAAACACGTTTACATAGTGACATACGTAGTACTATTAGTGAATCTGTAGTAGTCCAATTGCTAACCAACCACTATAGTTTTGGTAAAATCCCCTGGTGACTAAACTTCCGTATGTTCAATGTCTTTCAATTATTAGATTGCAACCCCGGTGAAGTGTCCCATACCTGGCCACAGGGCTGGAGATCTCCTTGCCCGATCTGCCCTCCCCTCAGCCATGAACTCTGTCCCTCGTTGGACGCATGGACCAACCTTACTGCCGGAAATTCGCATTGCAATAACCTATGGGAATGATCCTCCTCCTGGTGACTTAAAGCTCCTAAACATAAAGGTTTAATGGGAACATCTATAAATGGGTAATTTTCCATTGTCATGTTTGATGACTGAAGGGGTTCGGTATCTTGTTTTATCAAATCTTCAAGTTCAATTTTGGGTTGTTCAAACTCCATCCTTGACGCTCCTACTTGTTTTGATTCCCCATGTTTGTGGGCTTAAGCTCCCTTGTTTTTGGTGATCCAATCCCCACACATCTTTTGTTTCTTATTTGCTACAAGAATCCGCCTAGATTTTTATTCAACCAGCTCAACCACTTCAACCAGTTCGAGGCCGCTGAGGTCCCCCACCTCACCTCCACCTCTCGCGCCGGCGCCGGCGCCGGCGCTGCCGTCTTTTCTCGGGGCTGCAACTCGATGCCGGTGATCAACAAGCCGCCTCGGGGAACTCAAGACACGTTCCAAGACGTTTTTTGGGTGTTGATAATCAATCATATGAACTAGATGGAACTACTAAAGTGTGTTGATTCTTCAGTATTTGCAGGAATGATATGGAATGAGAGTATAAGAACACGGTCAAAAACGGCCGTAATCTATCTATGGTTGTTATTTGTGGACAAAATATGTGGCCCACTGATTTGAAACGCACCTGGGACATGAAAGCTGACTGGTGATGCTGGATCCATTCATTTTCGGGGCCCATATTAGGTGGGGTATTGTCAAGGGGAAGGGATTAATTTATCAGTCTAGAATCTCCTGGACAAATTTACGAGCAGTGCCAAAATATCAATGGGTTGGTTCCCATAGGAGTTATACGACCTAGTTACATGGCCATTCTCATGACTCATTACGAGAACCCCTATAAACCAGCCAGTATAATGAAGGCTAACAGGGTAGCAACACCAAAGGCGTGCACTCAAGAATCACCAGATTCCGCGCACCTTCGATCTCCCTAGCGTAGGAGTTCAAAGGCAAGTGATCATGGAGTACCTTCCCAGCAGGGCGAACATGTCAAGGGTAGCACACCAACCTGAAACCAACTGAGCCTTTCTCCATGTTCTTTGCAAGCATTCCTTACCACTCTGAACTCTAAAAAAGATCCCTGTTTAGGAAATAAGAAGGTCAAAGAGGAAAACTGTCTTTCAAAAGCGCCTGTTGAAGTTCCATGTGAGTTTGCAGAAGGCAGCGAGCAGCCATAGTTTTATTTTCGTGGTGACGTCCGCAATGTCTGTCCAGTCTTTGCTCACTCTATCCCATTTTTCTTGGCAAAAAAAAACTCTATTCTTTCTAGTTTTATTCACAGCGCAGAATCCCTCAAATAAAATCCATCTAAATCCCCTATCTTTTTGGGATTCGTTGCACCCTCGAACCCTTGGACCCATCGCTTGGCCGCGCACATTGTCCCCGTTGGAGCTTAGCATGATGGCACTGGGCCGGCCATGGCCTAGCTCCGCAACAATAAGTTCCTGAAGCCCGGGTACGAGGTGGGCCTGCCGAAATTCAATGGGGGTATCTCTCTTTAGGATCAACCCACGGATCGTAACTGATTACTTAAGTGGATGTCTAACCCAGTTATAGATGGGAGAATCCCACTGAATGGGGACTTACCAACTAGGGTTACTAGGGTTATTAACCAGTTATTAACAAGTTATTAAGTGAGCTGACCCTCCAAGTATTAATGAACATGGGGGGTATAACCAGGTATAACCAACCACATGGGTGATTTATGTCGGTGAAGTTGCTGCAAATTTCTCTTGGTTAAGTGTTGGGATTATGGGGAAAATAACTAGGACGGGGCCAAGGGAAAAAAAGGGGACGTACTTGGCAGGGTTAATTGGTGGGTATGGAACTATGGATAAATGATGAGATGATTATTGGACAATTTTCAAATTGTCAGATGATTCTGGGATACTGTTACTGGGATCATCGCGCGAGAATACTGGGTAAATTGTGGACTAATTATGGGACAATGCTGGGATAATTGAGGAGAATGAATCCAGAAATGGTCTGGGCCTAACCCAGATATGCAAGTAATATATCCTCAAGATCAAGCAAATCCCCTTGTCCGATAAATTAGAACCCCAAATCTGGGATCTAAAATAGTATCCTTTCAAAAAACCGATGCCTTTTAACATCCCTCAACGGAGAGCAAATTAGAACCCCAAAGTCTACGCATGGTGGGATTCTAAAATCGTGTTCCTGCAAGCAGTAAATTCATGGAAAATTAACACCCTTTTTTGGGGGGGGAATCTCCTTGTTATTATCTAAAGCAAATTTTTGCATTTCATTTGCACAGAGTTTTTGTCCTCCCGTACGCATTACGGCTGCGTCAGGCCGACCTTTTGACCCTCTTTCCCCCAAAAATAAGACTGCATCGTCCAATCATCTTTTGAAATCACCTTCCTTTCAAAACATATCTTACCGCGAGTCTCAAAACTTCCTGGCCCACCAGTCTCTCCCCCTTCTTTGTTTTCCGAAAGTTCTCTATCAAATGCGTCGCAGACAGATGTGGAATGCAGAAGCGATGTGACAAAATTGCTAAGGCTGGGTTGCAGCTGGCCATCAGTCAGCACCTGTGGGTCTAGAATGGTCGCCTTCAAGCTCCAAAAACATTTTGACACGCATTGACCTGGGGAAGATGATTATAGACCCGGGTCCTTCTTTCCAAGCGGTTTGGTTGAACCAAAAGTGCTGGTATCTAAAGAATGAGCAGAAGGATGTAGAATGTAGAAGAGATGTCAAAGGATGGCTAAGCGGCTAAGTTGGGTTATAGCTGGCCATCAGTCAGCACCTGTGGGTCTAGAATGGTTGCCTCCAAGCTCCAAAACCATTTTGAACCGCATTGGCCTGGGGAAGATGATTATAGACCCGCGTCCTTCTTTCCGAACGGTTTGGTTGAACCAACAGTGTTGGTACCTAAAGAATGTGCAGACGGATGTAAAATGTAGAAACGATGTCAAAGGATGGCTAAGAGGCTAACTTGGCTTATAGCTGGCCATCGGTCAGTACCCGGGGTTCTAGAATGGTCGCCTTCAAGCCCCAAAAGCATTTTGACACGCATTGACCTGGGGAAGATGATTATAGACCCGCGTCCTTCTTTCCAAGCTGTTTGGTTGAACCAAAGTGTTGGTATCTAAAGAAAGGAGGTGTTGGGTGGAAACAAGGATGCGCATTACTGCAGGTTGCTCATCACAACTTGACCTGGCATTTGTACTTTCCAAACAAAATTGACATTGTGTGGGAGATTCGAGGTAATGGTGAGGCTTGCGTTTTTTCAAGTGCGGATGTTGCCGGATATAATTCAATACGTTGTTTATCATTGCACATTGCCGCAGCTGCTCAACACCGTTTTACCTCCTTTTTTTTGAAATTTCAAACCAAGTGACGTCGGGATCACCTGGTTTGGAACATGAAAATCTTGATCGACCAAAACCAGGGATGCTAATTCCAAACATGTTTTGCACCTTTGTGCAGATACCTCATCATTTCTTGGTTCCTTTTCTGCACGCCAAATCAATGACCTTTTCTTGTGGTCTGTTGGAATCAATTTATACCACAACAAGGCTCATATATCCAAACTGTCAGGGTTCTAATTTGATAGCCTTTCAGGGTTCTAAAATCATAGTGGTGATGATTTTAGAACCCTCAACGGCAACCTCAGGGGGGGGATTCTAGACACCTCGATCTTGAGGGTATCAATTAATATGGGTAAATCATGCTTGTTTAATCATCCCACCGATCGTAACTGGTTGATAACCCCAGTTCAGAAGTCCCCTAGCTGGGTTTCCCATTTATTCCTGGGTTAAACACGCTTACTAACCAGTTACTAAGTGGGATGATCCTCGAAGTGGCGTATTAAGAAGTGGCTACTTCTTCCTAGAATTGGTCGAAGGGATAATCTGTGTGCTTTCAATCTTGTGTCGCAAATTCTGACATAAAATCAGTAAAGAGACTAGAGTGATTCCATCTACATGCCAAATCTTTGTCCGTTGAAATATAGAAACCTTTTGCATCAAGCTGGACTCAAATTGTCTGTTGAAAGTCCTTGGAATTGGAGGGCGAAACCCATGGGCACTCTGTGGGAAAAACTCAACAAACAATTGGCAAATCAGTGATCCATGCCATGGAAATCAGATGGTGCTCTCCCGGATGCAGGAGCTGGAACCAGTTATCTTGCTGGGTATGCTTGTGTAGGCCTTCCATTCTTCTGAATATCTAATTTTTGCAATGGAACTCGGTCAGCAGGAACAAAAGACACAAGGTTGGCACTAAACCGCAAAATCCTTTTAAAGTATATAAATTTGGGTATGGGCCGGATCAAAAATAGGAGCTGTACCCATAAAATGAATCCCATCTAGATGCTGAAGCTCATCATATTCTTCTGGCCAACTTCCATTTCCCATACCCCAAGTTACCCCGAACTTCCAGCATTTCACACCCACTCTTCCCACCCTGTCCTTCAATTCCCGCACCAAAAAGTCGCTAGAGACTCCCAGGTGCATCTCTTGATCGGCTTCCAGGAGGTGGGTGATCTGGCAGTGGCAAACCAACCACCAGAGTTGCTGGATTTTATATTCCTGTAGTGATATGATGATCGAAGGAAGTTTAGAAGTCAAACTTCCGACAATATGGACAGATGAAAAGCAGAGGTGGTAAGAGTCAAAGAAGGGAAGAGAAGAGAAGAGAAGAGAAGAGAAGAGAAGAGGAAGAGGAAGAGGAAGAGGAAGAGGAAGAGGAAGAGGAAGAGGAAGAGGAAGAGAAGAGAAGAGTAGAGAAGAGAAGAAGAAACAAGATCAAAAAAGAGAAAGTCTCAGAAGAAAGAAGATCCAGGCACGCGAAAAGGTAGGAAAGTCGCGAAACACTGTGTTTTTCCGATGATTTGTGGCTCCGGAGGGTCGAAAAGTAGGCTTGCTAAAGCGGCGGGTGCGGAGCCAGCTGGCCAGATGAGAGATGAAAAATTGCACGCCTCTGTGGGGCAAAGCACATTTCCAAGTCAAAATGTACAAAACACACCAGGTTCGGACCACTTTTGGAAGTTGCGATGTCGAAAAAGTGCATGCTGTTGTGGCGCGAAGCACATTTCGAAGTCAAAATGTTAAAAACACCACATGTTCGCGCCACTTTTAGACTTTGAAGTGTCGTTTCGCGTGGCAGGCGCAAGGGATTGTGCACCGCGTTAAAAGTAAGCAAAACGTGAGGGTTTTGTAGCATGTCCAAAAACGATGGCAGGCGTGGGACATTTGAAGAGGATCTGCAAAGATGCGTTTTCCGCGGCAGGCGCAATACAAGAGACATGTTCATCACAGCTGTTAGGAGGTCCGGGCGCTGATCTCCTGAGAGGCGTTGCATTTTGGAGCATCAGATCTTCAGGTTTGCTGAGATGATTTTGCGTGACAGGTGCAGCACTTCGTATGACCCGGTATCACTTTTTCGTGGCAGGCGCAGTAGTTTGGACAGGTGGGGTCGAAAAATCACAAAACGCAATGGTACGAGGCCCTCAGCTCTGCACTCAACTTTCCATTTTTGAAGGAAATCTCGCAGAATTGTTTCATTTTTGATGTTGTCAACTCCGAAAATTGAAGAAGTCTCGCAGAATTGCTTCGTTTTGGATGCTGTCAAGTTCAAAAAATGAAGTCTCGCAGAATTGTTTCGTTTTCAAGTTTGCAGATAGATAGATAGATAGACAGATAGACAGACAGACAGACAGAGAGATACATAGATAGACAGGCAGATAGATAGATAGATTGATAGATAGATAGATAGATAGATAGACAATTACAACTACTACAACTACAACTACTACTACACTACACTACTGCTACAACTACAAATATACTACGCTACATTACACTACACTAATTACATTACGCTACACAATTACATCTAGTTACCCTGCACAACACCGCACTACACTACACTACATCACCAATTGCAACAACAACAACAACAACTACTACTACTACTACTCCTACTCCTACTCCTACTCCTACTCCTACTCCTACTCCTACTCCTACTCCTACTCCTACTCCTACTACTACTACTACTACATCTACAACTACAACTACAACTACAACTACAATTACAACTACACTACTCTACACTAATTACGCTGCAGCACACTACAACTACAAACACAACTACAACTACATCCACACTACATTACACAACACTACACTACACTGATTACATTGCATTACACTACAACTACAACTGCAGCTGCAACTGCAACTACCACTACAACTACCACTACATTACACGACACTACACATACTACACTACACTACATTACACTACACTATACTAATTACACTGCACTACGCTACAACTACAACTACCACTACCCCACTACCACTACACTACACTACACATACTACACTACACTACATTACACAACGCTACATTACACTACACTACAGTAATTATACTGCACTATACTACAACTACAACTACACTACACTAATTACACTACATTACAGCTACAGCTCCACGACACTACACTACGACTACAGCTACAACTGCAACTGCAACTGCACTACACCACACTACATCCAGCAGCTGTGGTAAGGTGACCACCGCAACCATTGCAACCACTCCAAAAAACACAACTCCAACCACCTGTCGGTCCATCAGTGGATTCGCTCTGCCACCCGTGATTCACAACAACCAACCTCTCCTGTAGGTTTCCTATTTTTGAAACTTCCGCCACCGCCTTGTGCGGTACTACTGGTATATCAACAATTGATAACGATGAAATTGGATTGCGATATATGAGAATAATATATATATGTGTGTATATATGGAAAATGCTCTGTTGAGATTGAAAATGCTGAGGGCATTCCCATCAAAAATTATATAAGTGAAATCACGAATACTTCATCATCTCAAAAAAACATAAGGTCCGAAAAATATGGCCGCCCCAATCAGCTAGGTTTGAGGCCATTCGAACGAGGGTATTTGAATACCACACAGGACGATTGGGTTTTCAAAATCACTTTCCTCGCTTCGAAACATGTCCATGTAAGAAAACCACTGTGGAAAATGTGTTGGGGGTTGGGGGATGGTGCGAAAAATCGTTGTGGACCCGATCTCTGGTCATTGTAGCGGTTGATGTTCCATCATCATCCCTAGAAGTTGGCCCCAAAAAAAAATCCAATGGACCCGATCTCTGGGCGGAGTGATGTTCCCTGGTAATCAAACATGGCAATGTGCAAAATAGCACATATTTTCTGGATGATATGGCTATAGAACTGCGTAGGAAACTGCCGCAGGGTCATCTTACTTTAAGCCCAAGATAAAATGAATACATGGGGTTTGTCGCTGCTCAAATCCCTATTGGTTGGCTTAAGTCTCCAGTGTCACTGGTCAAATCCTAATTCATGCCGGATAAATTCCAATCTTGCTGGCCAAATTCCAATCTTCGCTGGTTCAATCCCCTTTTTAGGCCCTAAAATAGCGTCCTGCCCTTTGAGCTGTCGCGAAACGCGCACACCTTGACCTGCAACTCGCGCGGCACTGCACTCTCAGCCTTCTGGGTACCTACCGGGTCGAACCAGAAGCAGTTCAGCAACAAAACGGAGGAATTCACTTGTAGGTTTATCATGGTCAGCCAGCAACAGTATGGAGATTGAGATTTCATCCTGGACATATATATAGATGATATAGTGAATTTGTTGGCGCAAAGTACAAATGTGTATCTGTGCTGGGCTGAAAGATTTGGAAGAGTATATGGATAGCATGGTCTGTACCTAAATTTGGCCGCAATTGCGAAACCTCCAATAGTTGTTTGCATTTTTCAGACATATGATTACCACAATAACAAAAGAAATCCATCTCTCCAAAAATACTTTAGTACAGGTGCTGATCTAGTGTCAAAATGTATCAAAATCTGTTAAAATCTGTCAAAATGTCGACAAAAATGGATGCAGTTTCTACATATATCTGGACATTCACTGAGGTCCTTTTCTCTTGGTGGCTGCCATCTACGCAGTCGCTATGTTGCCCTCGTGATCGTGGTGCCTTTCGCCAACGACGACTTTTGCGGCTCGTCCTTGGGCTTGGCCTCGGCCCTCTTGGGAGGTGACGCTGCCTGTGGCCGAAAAGCAGGATGGCGCCTTTTTTAAGAAAACCAAATCAGTTTTTTTGGGATAACCAGTAAAGGAAGAATGGATTTCAGTTGAGATGCATTGAAAATGGAAAGAAGATGATGAATAATGGGAACCTCGAAAACCCACAAGAGAGAGAGAATCATTTGAGGGTCAAGTTGAAGTTGGAAATGAACAGGGTCAAAGCCCACATATATATATATATATACCAAGTGGAGGCTTGGTGATGCAGACAAAATAGGCCCAAAAAAATGTCATCGAGAAGGAGAGAACCTCAAACAGGAGACCCATGATGTTGCTAAAGGGAACTCAAGACCATATCTACGATCTCAACTCTAAAAGATGTATATAAATACTTACCCACAGTCTGAGTTTCCGGTGCATTTAGCATAGGGCGTACGTACCTGAAAGTGGGGGGCCTACATTGCGGTTCAGCCCTGCTTCCGGTGTCCAAAGTTCGTGACTTTCAAAGAACGGCCTCGCCTCTAACAAGTCATGGAGAGCTGCATTGGAAAGCATGATTTTTCTCCACATGTCTTGGCAGTCGCTTGCAACAATCTCCCTACCACGTCGGCAAACCTTGGGCGTCGTCTCTGAGACCATCGCCCTGAAGCAGCCGTCGGCGTGCTCCCTGACGAGGCTGGAGCCCCGGCTCCTGGTCGATGCCGGGACATCCGCCTCGTTCTCGACGATCTTCACCAAGAAGACGTGCTCAGGTGTGCCACACAGCTTTGGCATGGACACCACGTCATATTCGTGGACACCGCCTGAGACGAACAGGTCATCTTCATATATCTTGATGTCATCTGAATGTGTTGCTATGATTGCTACTTCCAACTTGGTAGCTGCAGGAAACGAATAGGTCTGCAAGCGCTGAAAGAACTAGGACGGCCGCGCTGTACACTTGCGGCCGAAAGCATCTGAGCAAATGCTGAACTCACACCAAGGCCCAATTGAAACATAAAACAAAAAAAACAAGATAATCCTCGTGCATCAAATTGTCACAAGGTCCTCTCGAATGAGCACATTCTAGCATATCTCACGTCACAAATCGAACCAGGCCTTGACTAGAACTCAATGCTCAGGCTTAACCTCTATGGATCAGAGATCAGTGGTTTGCCTTTCCGATCGTGCATCCATAGTTCGAGCTGGATATGTCAGTGCACTTCACATCGCCCCAGCAGTCAACCTTTCCGATCGTGCATCCATAGTTCGAGCTGGATATGTCAGTGCACTTCACACTGGCATCCTGGAAGGTATTCTTCTTGTCGTCAAAAAAGCTGAAGCTCGATATGGAGGGACGGAAATCCAACTTCCTGGAAACTGTTTGAGCACTCAAGCTTGTCACAGGTTTTATAGCCAAACAACCCCAACAAAAGTCCTGAAGTGCAACCTAAGTCTTCAGAATGAATCCGTCTAGCTGATTGCATCTCAGGATTCTCAAAAGCATCAAAGCACACGCACTGGATGGGCGCACTTCAGGTAGATGAAGTTCTTCTCGAAACATGTTCTTTTCGCACATTTTTATATGGGGATGGGTCAAAGCCTATCTATATATATATATACAGTGGCGGACAAAATTGTTTGTTCCCCGCAATTGCCACGGGCAAAACTGGGTCGTCTCCTATCGGTTGTGAAGATTTTCGCTCTTTGATAACATCCAGTAGAAAATGCTGCTCGTTATACTAATACAAGTAGAAGTAGAAGTAACAATACAAGTAGAAGAAGAAGAAGAAGTAGAAGTAGTAGTAGTTTTAGTACTAGTAGCAGTAAAAGTAGTAGCAGTAATAGCAGTAGCATTAGTAGCAGCAGTAGCAGCAATAGCAGCAGTAGCAGCAGTAGCAGCAGTAGCAGCAGTAGCAGTAGTAGCAGTAGTAGCAGCAGTAGTGATAGGAGTAGGAGTAGAAGTAGAAGCCGTTTACAGCCCTGTTTGTAGCCGTTGCTGTAGAAAAAAAGCACTACTGCAGATTATTGTGGGAACGTGTTGGAATCTAGGGGTATCGGTGCTGGTTCGTCCCCTATCGGTTATGATGGTTTCATGAAGGCAAGCAAAGTTCAATGCAGCTCTCTACTACTTTCAAATGCTAATAATTTTGTCGGATACTCATATATATATATACGTATAGATAATGCCAAATTATGGGGGAATGACATCCATTTACCAGCTGTTTTGGGGTATAGCAAGCTCCAGCAGCACCCCTTCTCCCAGGCCTTGGTATTTCTGGGAAGATGCTGAAATACTGGGGTGAAATGATGTTCAAAAATAGTGTTATACATGGTATAGATATGGTATATAGTATAAATACAGTATAAATGTGAACTATGGTAATACAGTATAAATGTGTTTCTAGTTTCAGATGTGGCATGAATGGCACATGCTTCCCATTGCCTTGGCAGGTGCCTCTGCCTTCTTGGGAGGTGACGCTGCCTGACAAGTCTGAGCAACGGTGAGCTGTGGGCTGATATCAATGGACTGGTCTACATAGTCGGAAAAATCTGGAAAACATGGCTTTTACCGGCACTTGTGAGGGGTTCCTGTATTTTTTCCGTCATCGAAAATTCTAAGCTAATGATGCTGGAAATACTAGTGGTACTTCATGGTACTTATTTCCGTAAGTAGTGCTGCTGTGCTCCAATAAAGACTGAAATCCATGTTGAACTCTGCATAGCACCATTCATCCAGAAAGACTTTTCCAGCAAATTGTGCAAGTCGCAATTTCCTGCCAAAACTTGGCTTAACTTTTGACAAGTCGACAGGGCTGTTTGAAAATCATCTATATAGTCACATGTAAAAAAGACCACAGTGTCCTGTCATATATCCTGGAACTCGACCTGCCGCGTATGTCACATCAAATCTTCATCTTGGCGACCCAAAATCCTCTGGTTAGTCAAATGGGCCATGTGGTGGGTATACTGCACATAGAATGTGGATTCCACCGCCATAAACCATCCCCAAAAATAACAACTTTTATGGGTAGTAATAAGTATGAGTTCCAAAAAAACTAGGCTTACTTGGGAATGGGGGAAAGATCCATAACTACTCACAATCATCCCATTCTCCTTTTCCCTCCGAAGCACCTGTAAGTTGATTCTTGGGTTTACCACATGACCCCATTTTCAGACACGCCCGTGTGGCTCTGACTTCCATTCAACAGTCCATCGCCTTAGTCTCCGGCTCGCTGGCCACGGTTGTCTTCACTTCCTGCCACATGTTTTGGCTTCGGGTCGGGCAACCAGCGGTATCTCACTAGATCTTGGTGGATTCCTGATGTTACTCCAACACCACTTGTTTTGGGCTCTGAAGGCCTATTGAAACCATGATGAGGTGGCATACACCGACAAAATTGACTATATGCTCAACACAACCAACAATCACGGACTGATTTCAGGGCAATGGTACAATATGGCACCATAAACCGTGGAACTGTCCCATCAAATTATGGATACTCCTGTATTGTTTCCCTCAAACCAGTTCTAGGAAACACGAATCCAATAGATCCGAACCTAGCATCGGACCAAACGCACCAAGAAAGAGAAAACGACATTGTTCTCCTCAACCATGTCAAATGGATTGCAAGATACAACTAAAGAATGAGACATTGGATTCATCAAAAGTGTGAAACATATATATGATATGTCGCACGCATAACAAGTCTGTCCCAATCAAACTTGGCATAGAACCAACGACATTGGGCTATCACTACTCTTGGAAATACCAAGACAAGAAAACCAATAGGGGTGAAGATCCAACAGTAGCATCAATAGTCAAGCGATTAGCTTGGTCAACCCACAGGCCTTAAGTAGTCATCCACCCTGAATAACATAAATAATTTCACCAACCTCAAAGTCTTCAAGTTACCTTCACAAAGTCACGAAGTAGCAACAATGCCGTTTTTTTGACCCAACAGTGCTTTCATAATTGCAATCATAGTGATAAAAAAAAACACTAAGAATAGACGAACCCCATCTTACCAGAAACAGCTTCCACAATGGACTCAATGGACTCCAGGGAATTCGTTTCGCACCTGCTCCGGAAGATCACGACCAAGGAACCTCAGACATGTCTTGACGGTCTTGATGGGGATCTCTGAAAATAGGCTACCCCTAAATCCATCCATTGGTTAATCATCATGTTCCCATTAAAAGAAAAGACAGTTAGGGGTACACCCCATCTTAAGACACACCCTCTGGTTATTTAACATAGCTATGGAAGCCATGGCCCAGAGAAATACATAATAGAAATGATGAATGATCTAAATTAAAAAAAAAAACTTTTTCCATAGCTATGTTAAATAACCAGGGGGTATATCCTGAAAAACTAAAAAAACTTACTATCCCACCTTGGGATGGGTCAAAGGCCTCGTGCACATCCGGGTCTATGACTCCCATATCTAACTGGTTTCTTAGAAATTGGGGGTATACCGTTATACCACCATGTTTGGCTACTTGAATGGGGAAAATGATGAAAGTTGCAATGGAATTCGAACTTTTACAATATTTTCAGAGGTCCCAACATCATTGATTCATTGATTTTGCATTGGTTGAATCCATTTCTTCGCCTGCAAACTGATGGTTTTCCCTGCCATTGTTGGTGGTTAACGGTTAAACCCAACCACTCAAAGTTTACCCAAGTCCCAACCCCAAATCTTGAATCATCTTGAATCCCCATATTTTCTCGGCAAAGATCCTGTTTTTCATCCCCGAGTCTCCCCGAGTTCCCGGGCAAAAGTTCGCGCTTCTTGTTGAGGCGTTCATCATCCGCCAGGCCCTGAAAACCACCCGTGGCCAAGCCTGAAAAAGCGCTCATCCGATCCCGCTGGTGGTGTTGAAATGATTGACAACTGGTGTGTAATTGTGTGTAATTGGGTTATTGGAATATGATTGACAACCACCTGTGACCACGAAAAAGCTGGTGTTGGAGTTATTGAAGTGATTGGAAGTCGAAACATGTCGAAACTGTTGTGTAATCACACTAAAAGCTTCGATGAACATGCAAAGGATATGCTTAGAATATAGCCATTCTGCTTCTTATCAGTCTTATCCCACAAGGATCTTCAATTTTGCCATAGGCGAGGCCTTTGCAGTCAAGGCACGTCGGACGAGTTTGCACTTGCTCAAAGAGCTTTCTCCCAGCCTGTGTCAAAGCAGCTGAGCCCCGACGATGCAAACTGCTGCCATGGCTGCCATGGTCGAAGCGGAAACACCTGTTCTATTGTGGTGGACCCAATAGAACAGAAAGATAATAACACTTTCAGACCAAAAAAAATATAAAAACATGATTTTGAACTGCAATCTCCATCATTCTGGAGGGTTGAAAAGTTGAAAAAGTGGAAAGCCACCCAAAAAGCAGTTCCGCCCACATTAGCTCTCGTCAAATCATTATCTCTATACCTCGAATTCCAAGATGGGTTTGGCCAAAAATAGGGTAGCGCTAAATCCACGGGTTAGTCAGCATGTTGCCGTATTAAATGGCCATGAGGAGGGTATATAGCCATTTTCAGACACACCCGATATCACTACATCCCCATTCTATCCCTATTAGTGAGCAAATATGTTGATGTTGTCTACATGATTCCCCACTATGAAGCCAGTATCATTCCCATCATTCCCCATCATTCCTCAATGTTAGCCTATCATTCTGCTAGTGTTTCATGTATTTTATACTAATATTCCCCATGAAATGATACCATTCCCCATCGTTCCCATTGCAACAAAGTTAGCTTCCCCAGGCTTCGCCACCGACTCGCCATTTTTGTGCCCCACAAGTTTTTGTGGCCTCGCCTCTGCATCACCTCGCGTCGGATCTCCAACATGGTGGAAGTGTCCAACACGCTGAGGGTCAAACCTCATCAAATCTGAAGTTTTGGCCAAGCCAAGAAGCCTAAAGGTGGGCGATGACTGGAAAAAACTCTAGAGTTCATGAACTAATTTTTGAAAACTCTTCTGGTTCTTGTCTGGCAACTCTGAAATGGCGAGGAATGAGTACCAATTGGATATCTCATCTACACTTGTTTGGATAGTATGAGTTACATGCATCATCCAAATTTACAATCCAAGGCTCTTAGAAAAGGTTGTTTGAAACCACCCGTCACAAGGAGTGGGGAGTTGTTCATTGAAAAGGCTGGACTTTTTCACGCTTGGCCAACTGCGACCCTGAAGCCTCCTCCCAATTCATTGCCTAGTTCTGTAATTAATAGATTGGTTCGAGGAAAAATAGCCATGGGTTTGAAAATAGTCAAAATCCAATGGTTGATGGTCATATTCTCCATTGTTCAGTAGCTATTGTACCCCATTTTCAGACACGCCAACTTATGAGGCTTTCCTGTAGATGTTCCCTTCATCCAATTCTAGGATGTGATGCAAAAACAAACCTGCTCGGTTCGTTTCCAGGAAGAAGCACTGCAACCTGTGATGGGTCCCGGACTTTGCGGAGTGTCAGATGCGGCATGCACCAACCTCAGCCAGAGAGATCTCTTTTTGGAGCCGCACTTCGGAAACGTTTCACCTGGGATGCCGCACTTCACCTTGACCTCCTTTCCCTTGGACATGTCAATACCCATGACCATCAATCCACCTGGGGCGGCGAGTCCCAGGGTCATGCTGGCAGGCACAAACCATAAAAGTATATCAAAGTAAACCACAAAATACCCATGTAAATAGCCCCACAAAATAGTCAGTCATACTTGTGTGAGCACAAGGGCCGAAAACTGACCATAAACTGCACAAGTCAGTAGTCCAGATTGAGGCCTGAGGCCAAAAGAAACAAAAGGGGCTTGGAGCCTTAGAGGCCACAAGGGCTCTGTGCAAGCCTTGCTCCAAACCAATCAAGAAAGCCCCCTTTTCTCATAGCAAAGACCAAAAGAACATGGTTTCCTGCAAATGGTTGCCCCAAAAAATCAATCAGTTGAATCTCCAAGACCTATGGCCCTATGGCATCCTATGGCCTTGAATCTCATTCTCCAACGAGCTCAGAGCAACATCATCATTGAGTGCCTCAATGGGGATCATCGGTAGGACCAGGGATGAAAAATTCAGCACATGTCAAACCAAAGACATAAGAAGGATACAACTGGTTTCAAGGTTTCAACCACTGATACTTTCTTCACTTCAATAGGCAAAATAAGATTCCTGCCCCCAGTGTGAATTATGAGACAAGCCACGAACCCTTGGCTCTACTAGCGTCGTTGCTGGGTATTGGGCACACATCACAGGCCTGTCTTGTACTGCTTCGCTTCTACAACCCATGGTATTCTCTGTGATCTTCCCCTTACCCTCCGCTAATTTCGAATAGCTATGGAAAATGACCCATCTAGTCCGATGATTTTCTATGACAAAATGATGATTTTCTATGGCAAACTGTAAAGATTACCAGAGGCTATCTAGATGTTTATTGAATATGTGTATGTATATATATATATATAAGTATATACAATCATCCGGACTTCAGGGTGCTTAAACCATGTTTTCCAGCCCCATGTCTTCACCTGATGTTGCTTCACATCGCGTGCCAGGAGACGTTCTCCCCGCTGATCGACAGCATGATCTTGGATACATGTCCCCTGCCGACTTCCTCTACGATGCGCTCCTGGGAAAAAAAAAAGGTCATGGGTCGTCACAAAGGTCGGGAAATAATGGGCTAATAATGGGGAGATAATGGGGAGATAAAGGACTTATATGAGCAACCATAATGGGTTATAATCCATTAAATTGAGTTGTAGTGAGCTAATAATGGGATTGGAATGGGATGATAATGAGATTATGATGGGATATGCAACCAGTTTCAAATATGGTGATTTAAACAACGAAAAAACATGGGGATAACATGGTGATACGATGGAGATATATCACCAACAGTATGCTATTTGAGTCTGTCTAAAAATAGTGGCTACCCACATATAGATATCATATGTATATACATACATATGTATATATATATATATGTATACAATATTATTATTATCTTTTTTTATGTTATTATTACTATTAATTATTATTATTAAGTTTTACTGTTATAGTATTATTATAATTATCATCATCATCATTATTATTGTTTTATTAATTATATATTATTATCATTATTATTGTCATCATTATTATCATTATTATTAATATCATCGTTGTTAGTTATGTTATATAATATACATATATATATACATAATGGAAATTTTGGCAGGAAGCCATGGCATTTTGGGGGTGCCCTATGTTCAGACAAACCCACATTCGTCCACGTAGCCCAAACCCTCGTCCAAAAAAATCTGCTGTCATTTCCTCCACCGGCCTTCAATTGTCGAACCAGGAGGTTGTTCACCACAGTGAGCACCAGCTGTTGGTTCTCATGCTGGAAGTGCGTCAACTGCGAGTAGCACGCGATGGCCAGAAACGATGGCTGGCTCCATTCCTTTTAAATGTCTGGGAACCCGACCTATTGGCTGGAAAATGAGCCATTTGTGAAGGACTTACCGCAACCAAAATTGGGTTAAAGGATGCTAAAGGTCCGCTTGCTAGTCTCATCTAGTCTCATTTTTTGAGTTTGTCCAATGTTGTTTTGCTGTACCAATGTCTTGAGGTAAACTAAGAACCTTTGGGGTTTTCTTTACCCATCATTTTCTCATGAAATCTCACACCTTGATCTCCAGCTCCTTCAATGGCGGAGGTGCACTCCAGAGCTCCTGCGGGCGATTCCTTGGCTTTTAGAATGGTCTTATGAGTAATGGTTTATTATATTATATATATAATATATATATATATTTATAATATATATATAATATATAATATGTGTGTGTATGTATATACACGCCCAAAAAACTCATTTCGCCCAACAGGTCCCCGGTTTTTAGGTCTCCAAGTTCGTGAGAGAGGATCTGAAAGTCTGCATCCATTTTCGAAGACAACTATCTACCTGGCACCACTTTTCCAACAAGAAACAATTGATTGTTTCAGTCTGGCAAGATTTCCAACAAACGGAGTTCACACAGGGAAACCAACACTTACTTCTGGTTCTTTGGGGTTCCAGGATATGATCAAGGGGTGATAGTTTTGCACAAAACGTTAGGTTTGGCTGAACTTCGGGGTCAACCAGTCAGGCCGTCAGCTGCTCAGCCACAGTCAAATCCCTCGCTCCGCCATTTTCTTGGCATCGTAGCCCATGCTTTCCCGAAGCTTCAGCTCTTCCTGATCAAAGCCGCTGGAAGGAAAACTGCTGGGTTTTCAGTCCAAATCGAAGAACCAAATAGCTGTGCCCAAGCTATTTGGGTATACCCAGCGACTTTGGACTTTTGGATATGATATGACTAATTAGTGACACAGTGACTCATTGAAATGGCAGATTGAGGGGGTCATAATATGATTGCAACACTGCAACACCTGGATTCTTTGGCTTCCTTCCTGTCTTTTAAGCAGAATTTCAAGTGCTTCGTAGCTCCACGAACACAACGAACGCTGTGATCTCGCCACGGTTTGCGACCCATCGTTCACCCTGAAAAATATCTGTGACGACCGTCACGTTGTTTGATATAGCTATGGAAAATGGCCCATAGAAATAGATGATGTATGACGATTTACCTATTGAAAATGCTGATTTTCCAGTTCGCTACGTTAAATAACCAGAGGGTATTCAGCATATACAGTCGGTTCATCCCCCAACAAAGTGACGGGTCCAATGTTGACATAGTTTGAAAAAACGTGGAAACCAATAGATGCGCACAATTCGTACTAACTCATCTCTAGGATACCACATTTTCCATACCCAAAATTAGGGTATGCTTCATATTATATCGGCAGTCACACATCTGGAACCAGTGTTCCCAGTCGTTCCACCCGTCCAGCCGTCCAGCCTTGCGATCAAAGATGTTTCCACTCATGGTGTCATTCCCCTCCTGTCGGATGGGAAAATCATGGGAGACTCGAAAAAAACCCATGGTTCGGATTCTCCTGGCTGTTCCAGCGCCCATCGGGACGCGTGAGGCACTTGGCGCTGCACGCTTGAATCTCGTCCAGAAAGGCCTGGCACTTAAGAGCTGAAAACCTTTTAAGAAAGGAATGTTTGTTTACAAAAACAAATCCTATTCTGTGATTCAGCATGTTTGCTTACAAAAACAAGCTATTGAGCTTGTGCTTTGGGAGGATGTCGTTTTCTTCAACCATTCAAAAAACAAAAGTGGCGTGTTCGTTGAGGGATCCCTATGAAGACCGCCCATATGGGCTTTCTGACACGTGTCTACGTAGCAACCTGTCCCCAACTATTCAAAACTCCAGGTTGATTCATCCCTACCTGGCAACTACGGCTTTGTTTCTTCCCTCGTCAAGGATTCTAACAGCGCATCCTTGACTCTCAAACTAACTTGGAGGTTCGGCTGGGATGTGGGTTGAAATTGGAAACTACAGATGTTGGTAATTCCCCTACTATTCGACTCCCCGAAACAGAGACCCCTGTTCATAACTTAGATCCATTAGATCCAACCAGGGGTCTGGGGGTTCATCCCAGACACATCGTGGGATCACCGGCACTCGTGCCTTCCAAATGCCCTTGGCAATCGTGGAGTCCGGCTCCTAGGGGAGAATTTCTGCCGGTCCAGGGCATCTTGAGACAATCCCAGCGGTAAAGAATGAAGATGCTATATGTTTTAGTAGAATCAGGCAACTTTAAGATGCTTCAAGATGCTTTAAGATGTTTTTAGAAGCTCCGAAAAATAGCCATGACCCCATACCAAGTGTCCACACCCCATTGTCTTGACACTTGACACCGGTGACTGGTGCCTTGGGCGTCACCGATTCGCGGCGGTGTTTGGAGTTGCCCCAGACCTTGGAGAAAAATCAGATTGAGCCCGTCCGGAGGGGTCAGGATCATCCACCTCTTTGTGTGTCGGATTGCCAGAAGGGAAAATGATTGGAGTCAATGTGTATATATATATACACACACATGTTGATTTTAAAACCTAGATACAGCTTTTAACCTCAAATGTAGGGCTTTCCGGCAAATGTTCCCATCATCATCTGGAATGATCCGTCTTCGGTCCACTAATTATCTCATCCAGCCTACAAGGTGGTGCCTACAAGGTGGTGCCCATAGTTGGCCAAGTTGGTTTATAGAACCATTGCTAGGATTTATGGCGGAATCTGGCCTTAGATGGGTTCATAAACCCACTTGTCACTGGCATCTTTGGAACTTGTAGAGGCCAACCACGCTGGAAACCCGACGGACTTTGGCGCGTTCTGCCTGTGGTAGTCGTTGGGATATCCTTAGCAGGAAGCTGAGCCGTGCTATGACCTGCTAACTACTGGGGTCAAGGGTTGAAATGAGTGGAGGTGAGGGGGAAACGCTTTGCCCTCTGGTAATGATGGCAACAGAAAATCCTTCATTTATAGATGATTTTCTTATTAAAACCTCCATTTAGTGCGGGGATTTCCTGGCTAGCCATGTTTGATTACCAGAGGGCATCAGCAAGTGTTCAGCATCGAAATTGTTTCAGGATCCACACAACATCGACGAAAAAAACTTATCGCCAAGTTGCCCAGAGGGTGCTGCACATAGCGAATACCATCCACCTGACGAAAGGGCTGTTGGTCGAGGATGATGGAAGCTGCAGTCGCATCTTCTCTGCCACTACCAATGAATTTACATATACACAGTTGGGGTGATGGCTATCTTTGACGCTAGAAGTATTTGGCGAGGCCTGAAATACGGCATACCCGCCCCGCAATGGCCGTTTTGAGTTTGGAAAATGATGACTAACCGCCAAAATTGAGGGTGTCTCCAACAATTTCAAACAAACTATTTGCATCCATACATCATATATATATATATATACATATATATCATATATTATATCATTATCCCATTACATCCCACCCTCCATGTATGGCTTTTCTATGCTTTTCTGCTCAGGCCATCAGGCCAAATGTTCAACCGTTTTTTTTAAATCACGGACCTCGCGGTCGCAGGAGATGTGCGAGTGTCCGAAGATGTGGCAGCGAGAACCACAACGACGCACCTCACGAAGAGCACAGTCATACAGTCGTGCGGTCGTGCGACCCGGTGACAGCAACTGGACAGCGACCCGGTGAGCTAAGTGAGGCCGGATTCTCTGAAAAAGCTAAGAATAATGAAGAATATGAACTATAATGAGAATACACTCAACATAAACAGACATAAACCATTATAAAGCATCTGCAAGTCTGAAATCCGGGAATGGGTTTGACCCAAACACTGAACCACTCCAAGGACAGCATCTTGTTGCAAACATGTTGGCTATCTGCAAAATGTTCCTACAAATGCAGGGGATGTCCCCTAGTTTTTGTCAGTGTATGATGTATCTTCCCCAAGAAAAGAACTCATATGGTAGGACCCAAGCGGACCCAAGATTCTCCCCTCAAAAACATCCGGAAATTGGGACCCCGCCTGCTGCTCAATCTCCTTGCAGCCCATGACACCACAAAGCCGCCGTGGACCTGGATAGCATTCCTGGCACGGTCAAATCCATTCGAATTCCTTTGGAATTCCATGACCACTGGCACAGTAGGGCTTGAGTCGGCTTGAGATCTTTCTTCAGATCTGGGAACTAGGCTTAACTGGGCTTAACTGGGCTTGACTAGGCTGAACCTGGCTCAAGATACCAAAAGAAAATCATCAGCTGCCCGCCTGTCGCGGGACGAAATGACTCATGGTGATGACAAAGGGGCCCAGATCAGCCTCCCAGCTGCCCGGTTGATCCCCGTTGACCCCACTGCAGCCCGATTTTTGCAGGTGAAACACCGTATCTTTCTAACCCATCCAGGAGCTCTGGAGCCAAGGACGAACTATTTATCATTATTTATCCACCCAATTGATTGCATGTATCAAGTTAGTATCAAGCATCACCTATCACTGCCTATATGACTCATTCATCCAATCAAGTCTTGAATCTTACCCGCCAAACATGTCTTATCATTGTCATCCTATGTCTGTTGAACCCATTCCACCTTGGTCTTCGCCTTCGGCACTCGACCTTCCACTTGGGCCTGGTTGATAAAGCGCCACTTTTTGGGTGGTTGAATCCTATGGTCAAATTCCAATAGCTGGATGGTTTATAAGGGAAAATCCTACTAAAATGGATGATTTGGGGGTAGCCCCATGTTAGGAAACCTCCATTTCACCTACATAAATTGGTAGTGTCCAGTCACCTATGGAATACCTCGATTTCTTTGCTGCCGACAAGAGCCCGACAAAATGGCATGGTTCGTCTTTCGACGGATTTGACGGTCAAGCTTTGGAACTAGCTTTGACATCCACCATTGTTGGGTCATTTTTCAGTCTTGCTGGGTCCTAAATCAAGTTCCCCTGTTCTTCGGAACTGAATTGTGAAAAGGATAGATTATTCTTCCATGTTTTTCTACCATGGTTGTCTTGATTTCTAACGAAAACTTGGCTAAATGGTCATGGCTCAATGGCCTCCATGGCTTGATCTCTTTGATCCCTAAAGCTGGATGACTGGATGGTCAGCCAGCCAGGAAAACGCTGGAACATCTCCAAAAGTTTCACCATGTTTCACCGCGACCTGCTTCACTTCTTCGGCATCAGCTTCCACCTTCCGTAAAGCCTCCAGAGCCTTGGCACAGCGATTGGATCTGAAATGCTGGAGAAAAGTTCGCCAGAAACAGCCAGAAACAGCCAGTTCCAACGGATGACCCTTCGGTAATCAAAGATGACTAGTTGAAACATACCCTGTAAATCTGAGGTGTTTATGGGGAAATCAGGTTTTTTCCAATGGATTGAGGGGAAATATGGGGAAATGTACCGGAACTCGTTGTGCTTAAATCAAATCTTCGGGCAGAGAAATCTTGCTGCTCTCTGGTATACCAACATGGCCAACATGGCTGACCGGAGAACCCATGTTTAACAGCAAAATCGTCTACAACTCGGCAATTGTCCCCGGCAATTGTCCTGGATTTCAAGAGTAACAGTTGCATTTCTTCTGGACTTTGGGGATTGTACTCTGATAAACATTGTCTGTCGGCTGGAGATACCCGATTTGAAGATGATTTACTTACAACAGGAGAAATCTGTCCTATTACCATGTCAAACGACCGGAGCGTAGAGTAACAAGGAATCATCCAACATTATTTCAGGACTATATATATTTAGATTTTCCGTGAACCGGGCAATTCTGCGAGTCAGTTCCATCACATCTTCTGAGCTGACACGTCTTCTGTGTATTACCTACTGCAACAGTTTGATGATTATTATTATGATGATGGTGATGATGGTGATGATAATGGTGATGGTGATGGTGATGCTGGTGGTGGTGGTGCTGCTGATGATGATGATAATGATGGCGATGATGAGGAGGAGGAGGAGGACGACAACAATTTTGACGACCTTGACAAAACTTCTGTGAGAAGAAGGTGGGTGGCATCGCGACCTGAAACATGAAGGTTCATCCCAAACAAAGAGCCAACAAAGTACAGTATACCCTTTGGTAAACTGACATAACTATGCAAAATAACAAATTTGAGTAGGCAAATCATCTACAAATAGGCCATTTTCCATAGCTATCTTGGTTTCCTGCATGGTAAGTGCACGCCCATATCCATATTGGAGTCACACCCTGGGGGCCCTGACACCTGGTGGCGCCACAGACACGCGCCGGTTGTTCAACCTTGGAACATCAGGAAAGAAAACCGTAGGAAAAATGGTGATTTAACCACTATAAACGGTGATTTAATGGTGATGTTTATGGTTTAACAATGGGTTAACAATGGTGAATAATGGTTTGTCATTGGTTTTACCCTCTGGTAAACTAACAGTTTGCTATGGAAGCCATTGCCCAGTCGAAATAGTTGATATACCCATGAATAGCATGGTGAATTTCCATAGTTATGTAAACGTTTACCAGAGGGTACCCGTTTCCACACCATATCAAGATGCATCTCGTGTAATCCTATAGAATCATCTATCAACATGAGCTTCCCCAATATCATATTATCTGATTTTCTATGACGTTGATTTTGAAGGAGTTCCTGGATCCATGGGAAACCGGGCGAAGCAAAGAAATCTGCAATTTCCGGCTGCTGCGCATCGTTGGTATCTCCACCTGGTCTGGTATATTCGACATGACATCACGATCATCCAACCATCTTGCCCTCTTGCAATCAAACGTGGCTGTCCAGAAAATATTCACCAATTTTGGAGATAGCAAATTCATGGAAAATCGTCATGAAATTGAGCAACTTTCCAGAACGTCGTGTTTCACCACCAGAGCAAAACTTTTAAATGCCGACTTGATTGGTGTCATTGCTGTCTGACAATATCTTCGCTGATTGTCTGCTTCAACACAAAAGGAGATGCTCCCTTTCTCAACTCTGAAGTGTTCTCAACTCAAGTTTCAGGCATCTTGCACTCTGGAAACGACAATCAAGATACAATCATTAGCCCAACAACCAGTTTGCAACCTGGCACTGGGAGACGATTCCAGCTCAGCGCCCCACGGCCAGTGATGTCCCAGGGCCACTGCGTCTGCATGTCGAAGGGGATATCCGCCAGTGAACGGTGGAAGCCGTCCACCAAATTGTCCTGCCGATGCGGGATGGTAAAACACCATTCATGATGTTGGGGGCCCCATGTTCGCAATGTCATAAACCACCCACATGGATGGTTGCAATCCCAGAAATTTCTGGAAAGTCATTGGGGATGGTGGATCCTATTGCTTTACAAACCATGACTGAAATTTATGGGAAATTTATGGGAAATGATGATAAACCAGGGGATGGAATCACCACATGTTCAAACACATCCCTGTACCAAGTTGCTGCGAGTCCTTGTACCAAGAGAAGAGCGGACAAACTGCACAGTCGGCACTGATGAAGGCTGGCCTCGCAAATCGCAGTAGCGATTTGCACAGTTTGAGCCGCTTGACCGTCCGGTAATCAAACATGACAATGGCAAATCCTCCGTTTTTCCAGATATTTAAAGGAGATCATCTCATAACAAGCTCCATTTCATTGAGCTCCAATGAAGTGGAACAGTGGAACAAGTTCCAATCATGATCCCTCGACAAAATAGCAGTCCGACTCGTCACCGGGCAAAAGTTGGCAAGCTGTGGATCACTGATGGCGACAACTGTGGATCACTCTTCGAACGGGGGAAGCCGAAAAAGTTATCACCTTGCCAGTCACCACCAGTAGCAGATGATTATTGATGTTTATAAATTGTGCCCACAACAACCTTCACTATCAGACTATCCACTGTATAGCCCATCTGCTGATCCCGAGGATCCAAAATCGCCCAATTTTGATGGTGAAACGCACCCCTCCCAGCCCTCCCAGCCCTTTTTTAGCCGTCCCAAGCCACCTGGTGTGGACACCCAGCCGCTCGCAAATCTGCAAGCCATGATTTCATCAGGATGTCCGACATGATTTCTCCAAGCTGTTCATTGGATTCTAACCGAGTTTGTTTACCCTCTGGTTATGTCAAAATAGCTATTGAAAATGGCCATTGAAATAGTGAGTTTTCCCATTAATAGCATGGTGATTTCCATAGTTATGTCAACGTTTACCAGAGGGTAACTCAATGGCCAGTTTAACTCATGCAAAATGAGGATAGAAATGATAGAAACCAACCACTTGTTGGGTCAACATCCGCTGGGTTTGCACTAGTCACGGAGGTGTCATGTAATGAGTACTGCAAACTATCCATAGCGTTTTGGCATTCGCCAGCTGACTCTTACCCCCAATTTCGCATGTGTTTGCGGTTTGACCAATACCTGTGTCAAGGTCTAGTGGATGGCAAATCATCCATCGCAAATTATGATAAAACATGAAAAGTTTGTCATTTTGGGGACGATTCTGGGAAGTAAATTTTAACCGGCATTGGTCACCTAGTGAGGTCATTAAATAATCATATCCGATCTATGCATATAATATAACATATATGTTTTTGAAAATTAAACGTGCAGAAGTGGGGATAAAGCACAATCAATAGGAGGAGAAGCAAATGGCAAAAACCTCAACTCCTTGAAGTTCTGCAGAGCAGGGAATAGAAATAAATAGAAATTGCAGCAGAAACCTCAGGGAAACCTTGGCAAAGAATGAGCCGCGCTGAATGTCCCGGATCAATCTTACACAACCCCTGTGTAGGGCATTCCCTCTAGTCAACCAATGTTCAGAAATCTGGGGTTGAGACATCAAAAGGCGCCCGGCCCCGGAACCTCCAAGATCGCCAAGAATTTGTGCACGGATGATAGGCCATCCTTTTTGTTCACCCATAACCTCGGCTGACAAACGCTGCCATTTCTTTGTTGCTGGCTACAGCCACCAGGATTTGTAGCAACACCATCACAGGAATTGAGACATCAAGAGTTACATGTACTGTACATGTATATTATATATATACGTATATATATATATAATAGTGTTTCATATAAAGAGCGCACAGCCAACCAGGTTTCATACACGATACAGGAAAATCATCATGACTGGGAAAGGGTGGTAGAACCTGTGCATGGGTTTATTCCTGGGACGTCCCCAAAGAATGGGATGCTTTGATACTTCAAAAATCTGTGAGTCCATCTTTCAAGAATCTGTGGTCACCTCTGCCTTAAATTTTGCCCCATACTCATGAACAAACTGTTGTTCATTATAAATCCTTGTTCACATATTATATCCCCATTCAGGGAGTAAAAATGAGTAAAATATCACAAATGATCACAAATAAACCCCAATAAGAGGCATGTATACCAAGGTGGCTTCATAACCCTTATCAAGTTGGGTGTACCACATGACGTCGCTTGCGTTTTCGCTTTGGAACCAGCGCAATTGTTTCCGTCCCTGAAGCTCCTTGGGCAAGAAGCTCATGGTTTCCAGGCACATAGAACACAGCTCCGAATTTCTCCTGGCGCTGCCGTTCAGCGCCCAACAAGTCAGAAACCCTTTGACATGGTGCAATTGTGCAGTGTTCAAAACCCTCTGTTTGTCGTCCCTTCATACTATTGGTTGATAGGAATCCCCATAGATTCCGACAATCCCCACTATATTGGCTAGGATAACCCCAGATAGTCATCCATCAACAGGGGTTTTGAACACTGCTCAACTGTGTTGCTTGGTTTCGGGATATAGGAATCTCGGAGGCAAACCCAAATGGTAAGCTCAGGATTCATTAACTACAAGTTGTTGGGGAACGCATCATCATGTGATTGATTATACTGGTTGGTTGATTGTGATTCCCAATATGGATTCTGACACATTGTAACAAACCCTATCAGATCAGTTATATATATATGTATGTATATATATATGAGTGTGTGTGTGTGTGTTCCCAGCTTTTGAGGTCAAAAGCGCTAAAACCCATACCTGGTTGAACCAGTTGAACCCCTATATACTCAACGAGTATTTTGAACGGCTCATGGCTGAGCCGCTTCCCCCACCATCCATCAGGCCTTCAACAAACGGAGGGAGCTTTCGATGGTCTGGGGCAGTCAGCAACGGATGTGAAAAAGTCGGGCAAAATACCATTGTTCATCATCATGGGTCCAACAAAAAGTTGCAAGTTTGTAGGTCCCAGTTGACACCACTCATGAATCGTGAACGGCCCGTGAATTCGGCGCAGGAAGCAGGATGATCGAGAGGTTCCAAGACCAAACACTGTGTAACACTCAGGTTGCAGCCTAATGATAAGCAACGAGAAACCCGATTTTATCATATGATATGTTCATTTTGGCGTCCCATTTTCAGGTTTACTCTTAGTGTGAGGAGATTGGTGATCTGATATGTAAAAACCCGATGATGGCACTGCGGATCATGCCAGCTGTAGCTTTGAGGGTGAACAAAGTGTTGCAGCTACATGTTGGAAACCAACAAAGGACACATGACAAGAGGCGGAGATCCTACAATCAGTCCTCATATCCGGAATATTCACCAACAGTCAAGGTTCCGCTCAGATGTATTCAATCCTGGTCATTGATTCACATGTGTGTGCTTCTACACCCATTCTCCGTGGACACAATCACAATTCTTGCTAGCCTTGCATTCCGGAACCGATGTGTCCTTAAATTTATCAACCTCAAAAAACCAGTGGGTAAAATTCTCATCGCTTTTCCATACCATTTCCTTATCTTTAGATGAGAATTCTATTCGGGTACCCCATTGGTTATTCAACATAGCCATGGAAAATCCCTCATAAATGGAGGTTTCTAGCTGGGAAAATCATCTATTTCTATGGACCATCTATACCATGGCTATGTTAGTCATAACCAGAGGGTACCCCATTGGTTGGGGCCCGAAAAAAATGTGGCCAGTCTCAGTGGGGCACCTCTAAACTGGATGCCACATCTCCAGCCAACAAGAGGACCGTGTCCTGGACCCCACGAGATTTTTCGCCACCACCTACCCTCTGGTAAATTAACAGTTCGACCCTGGTAGTTGTTGGGGTTGGAAGACGAGTTTCCATTAAAAATTGGTGATTTCCAGGGTCAACAAGTTAATTTACTAGAGCGTATTGTTCAATGGATTGGTTTAAGGGAAAATTGGAACCGGAAAGCCCCATTAATTTCACGGTAAAAACCATGGTTTCCGGTGAAGATTTTCCCAACAAAACCAATCCATTGAATTGTGGCTGAGCACCCATAAAATTAACCAATCATGGGCTTATCAAAAAACCATTAAAAAAAAAACACCTATAAAGGGTCACCAAAACGGGTGAGTTGAATCCCCAACAGTTTGATGCAACCATATTAGACCATAGAAAAATATCTACAGTCGATTGGAGGTTTGTCTGCAAATGTTGTGGATCCTCTGAATCTTCACTCTCACCTCTCATCTGTCAATTTTGAAAGATTGACAAAATATGACAAAATAAACGAGTCTGAACCGCTGGGACTGCGCAACACGTGGACAAACTTCCCAAGCTGTCGCCCGTGTCTTGAGGTAGGAAACCAAAGGTAGGACAGGATAAGTTGGAAGCAAACTGAAGAATTGGTGGAGGCTATGATCAATGGATTGGATTAAGGGAAAATTTACAGGAAAGCCCCATATGTAATGGGAAAATCTATGGTTTCCGGTTCCAATTTTCCCTTAAACCAATCCATTGATATGAGGAAAAAAACTCAGGTCCTCTGAAACAGGCAACTGTCTCAGGTGCGTCATGTTTTTGCCTCGGTGCATGTCATGTCGCTGTCCGTGGTTCCGCCAGTTTTAGTTTCACCCTAAAGCGGCACTCAGTTGAGGACCCATATCTGAATGAAGGTCACTCCATGCGACCACCTGGCAACTCTGATGCCGGATACATTCCACCAGGGCTTCCTTTGGGGGGTATTTTATTGGGGGACCGGGATTGCTTCCAACACCTTTCGAGGACATGCTCCCTCCAGCGTTGTCATATCCTGGTCATATCCCAAGGGGGCCAGGAACATACGACCCCATTCCGCATTGCCCACATTCACCACCTCGGTGTAATCTTGGGGCAAACGTGGCCACTCCTGTCAGTGGTGAGCTATCAAAGAGGACGGAACTAGAGATTTGGTTTTCGAAAAACAACGAAAAGCGGGATACAAACGTGGAGATTTATGTACAAATAAACAGCTGAAATACCTTTGCACTTGCTGGACATGTGTATAAACACACAGCATATGTCATCTATCTCATAAATGTTGTATCAAACTAAATCTATCGATCATGGGTATGGGTCACAACATAGTACACAAAAAGAACAAGTGGTTTGATACTATACTACTCATTGACAAAGAATGAGTGAGGTCCGGTCTCAATTTGCAAACAATATCCTCAGAAACATGGTGTGTTGTTTCGGAAAATCCAACCGATATAGGGGGCGGAATTCCATCCAAACATCTCTTGAATCCCGGAACGCATTTCAAGTGAGACAATTCATAAAAACATAGAAAACACATAGAAAAATGCTGTTTGATGCTTTGCAGATGGCTTCCATGGCTTCCATTGATCGCATTGCTGATCATGCTTCGGGCAGCTCGGTGGGACGGATGATCCACTGGAAAATGACCCGGTGAAATAGGCAAATCATCTACAAATCATGGGTCAAATGGGTCATTTTTCGTGGCAAACTCTCAAATGGCTAGGCTAACCCCTCATTCACCAGGGTTTTTTCCATGGTTCTAACCTGTTGGCAATCATGTGTCAAACATGAATCTTTTTGGGTTCTATGCCTCCACTTTTCAGCCTGCACGGAAGCATCCATATCCATTGGCCGCCAGCGCTGCAGCATGGTCTCCTGGAAACTCGGCAGGATGGCCCCCTATTTTTGGGATGGAAAAAGCTTGCTTTCCCCCAGCTTGTCCCTGAAAATGTCTGTGAGCCAAAGGATAAAATGGATTTTTCATCGCCACCAAGGGGGAAAATTAAATCATTTGTGATCATTCGGAAATAAAGTTTTGAAAATTCAAGCTGAATATGTTTTTGAGATCCGGAACGGTATTATTTAAAAAACAAAATACTTGTCGCTCTCATAGTAGGGCCCCTCGACGATTGCGCGTAAGCGATTAAATTCGCCGAGGGGGTCCCTGCATGTCCTTGTCGCAGGGGCAAATTTGGTCATTGTATTTGTTGGCATATGTTGGCCTCTCTTGTGGGCAATGTGGGCCCATCTTGTTGCTATGTTGGCCTATGTTCGGCTCATGGTGACCCATGTTGAACCGAAAGAACCGAGAAATGGGAACTAGAACGCAGGATATTTTGATGGTCGGTGCCCTATCCTGGAGCTATGTTGGCCCATCTTGGGGTTGTGTTGGCCTATCTTGGGGCAATATGGGCCCATCTTGGGATGTTGAAATCAACAAAATCCTTGTGAAGTTGGTGTATAAAGCAATGCTTCCCAACACGCTGTGCCCCTACGCAGCTGTGAGTTGTTGGGTGTTTTCAAGCCAACCTTCAAGCTCGCTGTGCATTTTGGGGTTCAAAAACCTACTCTCTAGGGATCTGTCGTGGTTGAAATGTGTGCCCTCCGAACAATCTGTATCCCGGCTCCTTCGAGTTTCTTTTAGCAGATGAACAACCCCAGTTCCATGTGTTTCACATCCACCGCAGTTGTACATGAGTCATATGCGTAAAGTAGATAATAAATTCATAATCATTCATATACTAATGATGCATGTCTATGCATATACCTCATTAGAGAATTATGATGGGAAACACAAGCCACTGGGCATTGCCAATGCAACATGATGGGAAATACCATATATAAATACCTCATATTACATGGGAAAATACCTCATAATTCACTAACCTGAAATGACGTGAAACGGCCCTGGGATGACGTCCCCCCCTTCCAGCCGACCTTGGGAAGGGAGATTGCCTGGCTGGATCCCAAAAGTGAACGCTTTACGCAGCTTGTCCTAGAAAGTCTTGGTGTCACCGTGAAGTTGGTTGTCTAATACCTATAGATACATTTTAGTGGGATGAACATCCATTTACCAGCTATTTTGGGGTTCACTAGGTACCAGGGTTTTGACCCATCCCCATATATATATATATTATATATATATGTATATAATACTATGCAATACTGTATAATACTGTATAGGTATCAATTGACCAAATGCCCTTTTTGAGGTATGTAGGTCCTGGTACTAATGTCATTAAGTCGATTCGTGGTAAGCCTGGTAAGGTCATCCAAGTCATATCCAAAGCTTGAACCCTGCCGAAACTCCATACAGAACTCATCAGAGAGGACTTCTTGACCTCAAAGCGGGCGTGGAAAAAAGGGGGTGGTAAAATGTCTTCAAACCTTGTGAAGCAGGTTCTTTCCACTCCTCTGGGAGCTTCGTGCTTCCAAAATGTAAGCAAGAGGTATGATGATGTCATAAGCCTTTGGGGGGAAGCATTGCACTTTCAAAGTATAAGCAGAGTAATTGTTCTTTCTTTCGCATTGCTGCTCTAATGTCTGTATGCTTGAGTGTCATTCCTTTGATGCACCAATGGCATGAAGCAGTTCAAACATGCAGTCTCATTGGAAATAGCCTGCAACAGTTCCAGCTGGTCCTTGAGAAAAGATGAAAGAGCCAGGGCCTTGAGGAATTTGTGATAAAAGGACCATGCGGTTCATTCCGACGACTCGGCGTATTGAGAGGTTCCTTCTCCGGAAAATGCATCCTCATCGTCAGACAATTTGGCAATTTGGTGATAATCAGTGCCATCTTCCAGGTCATCCCTGTTACGCTGATCAAATTTCCGGCTAAGTCTGCTGTGAGTACCTCGTCCAGCAGCCTTGAGGAACAAGAGTCCGATACGAAGGTTGAACATCCAAAAGCTACCAAACAAAGCACAACCAATCATGACCTCACGCTCAGAGATATGTTGGAACTGGAATGCCAAACAGTTCTCTGCCACGACGAAGCTGAGAAAAATGAAACATAGCATCACGTACCTGTCGAGAATGGTGTCGTAGCCGATCGGAGGCACCATCTGTGCGACTACATACTTGTAAGCAACTGCTGTGAGCACTAACGTCAAGGTAGTTGATAGACGAGAAGACACATCATATGGGGGAATAAAAAATGAAGAAGCACTTAGAGTCGGTATTATGCAGATTGGCAGTATAACGTTCGAGAAGTAGTAGTTTGGCACTCGGTTCATCGACAATGTCGCGTTCAAGACGTGCCGCGAAACAGCAGTGGCATTTCTGTTTGGTACCACCTCTTCCCACAAGTGCATTTTGGGATTTCGCCACGCATGCTGGACCAGGGACAAGGCTTTGGGCATGATCCTCGAGTTGTCCGATGTGACCAAGACCATCTTCAGCCCCTTGTTGGGATACCGTATATTCATCGACACGGTAAAGTCTTGGCTGTCAAAAGGAAAGTCTTGAAGTTCAAACGCCTCGCCAAATTTGCCTATGAGGCTCCATGAGAGACGAAAATTCCTTCCGTCTTCTGTCTCATCAAAGTAGATGGTTGCGAATCCAACAGCATCGCTGTCGACCCTGTTTCGCGCAGTGATCCATGCTTGCGAATTGGAAGACTCCTGAGACATGAAGGAAGTTAAGAGTTCCTTCACCTTCTCCTTCTTCTCTTCTTGATGCGGAATTGGTGTTGTGAGCGTGACCCACAGAGCTGCTCCAAAACGCTGGTTTGTTTGGTCAATTGCGTCGATGGAATCAAGCGTGACACAAACATACACAACGACGCAGTTGTCAGTTACTACAGATTTTGCCATGTCTAAAATGGTCGTCTGCTTGAGGAAAGCAGTGGCTCATTCCCCAGCATGACAAGTGCAAAACATGTTTTTCTACATGACGCAAAACACCCAAAGTGGCTGCTTTGGGCTTGACCAAAGTCCCGCGATCAAACACATGATACATTGCCAATTCTGGCTGGGAGCCCGGACGAGAGTTTTCAGAGGACGAAGAGTCGCAACCATGGCAGCGACCATTTTAAGCGTCAAAGGTGGATATATATATATATAATCATGAACTTCCCATCAGATTTGGGGTCGTTGAGGGAGTGCGACCTAGTTGTTGAGAAACTTTTAAGAGTACTTCTGCTGGAATTGGGGAGAATCCAAGAACAATCTAACCCTGACCTCTGGCAACACTGGGACCCTGTCCAACCCCACTCTGGACCAAACACAATAGTTTAAACATGAACTTTGGGATGTCCAACAAATATGTCCTCAACAAACAACCGCAGCCTTGTCCAAAATGGGATTCTCCACCGGCTTTACAGGCTCCGGCCTCACCAACTTGACCAGAAGGGAAGTCGTTCCGAACGTATAACCAATACAGAAAGAACCCTCCAAAAATGCACGTATAATGCACGTATGCAGCCGCATGCACGTCAAGAATTGTGAGCGATACCCATATGCCAGCCCACCTCCTGATTGGGTTTTGAGGACTTCCACATGGTGACTCAGAAGAATGTGGCTTGAGAAAAGTCCTTGAATCACCCAAAACAGCTGTTGTGCAGAGAAACAATTGGATCATTCCTCTTACTTCCAACCCGAAACCAAACTATGAAAGTTATGACAGCTGTAGACATACGTAACCATAATGTACCTTTAATGTGTGTATCATCCTCAATCAACCCAACTCTCATCCGATGTTGGGTTTCCTTACTTGGGGGCAGCTGGCGTAGAGGCCTTCTCTGCCTTTTCTTTCTCCGTTGGATTCCTTAGACTGGGAAGGCGCGGTCTCAAAATCCATTGGGAGACCAAAACTAGTCCCAACTAGTCCCAACTAGTCCCAACATGGTGGGTGTCCAACCACGAGATGTCGAATATTCTGTTCTGTTTGACAAAGATACACAGTTGAAATGTGGGATGAAGATCGCCAGCAGCGACATCCCCAGCTCTGGATGCCCCATCCCTGGGTGCCCCACCAAATGATGTGCGCTGTGACGTTGCAGCCACATCGGGCGCAACCTGGGGCAGTGCCAAGGTCAAATCTACACGAGTTTCCCTGGGCCAAACCCGAGAGAGGCCCTATATTTTTCATGAGAAGCACGTGAAATCATGTACCCTCTGGTTATTTAACATAGCCATGGAAAATGGCCCATAGAAATAGATGGTTTATACCTATTTAACATGGTGATTTTCCATAGTTATGTTAAATAACCAGATGGTAAATGATCTCAATGATCTACCACTTGAGGAGGCTTTGGCTGAACAATCCCTGATTGCCGGGCTTTCTCAACGGAGTTTCACCCAATTCTGGAGCAATTTTTCACTATCACCACTGGGAAAATCATCTAAAATATCTAAACTCAAAGGTGATTACCATGATTACATAATTCATCTAAAGAGATCATCAAGTAAACATCAAGTATTGCGCACGGATTCGCGAGTCCAAAAGCCAGCTATTCGCAGGCTTGTAGGGCCTAATGTGAAAACCTATTGGTAATAGGGTTTAGAAAACCCCTGGGCACAGGTGATAGGTCGGGTACCAACAAATTTAATTAGAAGCTGCACCGCCCTGACACTGAGATCGTGACAAAGGCCAAACTGTACCGACAGCTGAGGAACCAAAACTCCAGCCGCAACCAAATGTTGGCTGGACACCTGACCTGAAACACCTGCCTTCGAGAAAATGTTAGTGATCATTTTCTTGAAAATTCTGAAATCAGCAGCAAAAGTGGGAACCACATACCGATTGAAAGCATTCAAACCACCAACAGGGCCACCAAGAAACTCGCGGTACAACACATATATTTCAAGAAAACTCACTAACCTCATGTGAGATGCAGACTGGTCTTGGTCAATCAACCAATTGAGCAGCTGTTGACTGACCGTCACAAAATGGTGATCAAATTGATCTTCCAACCAAATTTCGCTGTCCCGCAAGGCCAAAAGCGGCAAATGAAAAGTAGCCGTATTGGGAACAACATCTATACATGACAAAATCGGTGAAACTTCCTCCTCCCAGCTGTCTTCAGAAACATCCGTGCTGGGCTTTGCACAGTCAAATGCGGCAATGTCAATATGAAAAGCAGTAATCAAAGCAACCCTACGCCTCCAAACACTGCGGTAATCAACATACTTTTGCCACACTTGTTGGAAGAAACGCGGTCTACTGTTGTTTGCCAATTTGGCCTGAAAGTCGGCAAGATCATTCCATTTTTTGGTAAAATCATCCAGAGGCCCAGTGCTATCCTGCACATCCACATGACTTGCCACTTTGTGGACATGGATGTTGGCCATCGAAAAATGCACCAAAGTTGCAATCTGCCGCCACAGATCTGAATGTTCAAATTTTTCCGGGTCACCTGTGCCAAGCAACAACTCACGCAAATGATCAACAGCATTCTGATTATCAACCCAAAGATGCAAGTCACCCGTGTACTTAGCTACCCAAGCTACAGCACTCAGGATGGCAGTCACTTCAGCTCTCATGATACACTGTTGAATACCTCTCAAAGGTCCAGCACTGATCGGTCCCACATCGGCCAGAATCACAGACCAAGAAGCCAGAGCATCATCAGGTGAAAGAGGATTGTCGCAACTGCCATCAGTAAACAGATGCCACACCTTTCCTTTGGGCATGCACTGATACTGCTGCGTCAAGTCAGGGAGAGCAGAAAGCGCCTCCCACACAAGGTTTTCCCATGGATTGCGAGGCACAAGGCCTCCGATCTTGAAACAGGTTGGGAACTCATCCCACTCGGCAAAGAGTTTAGCATGGTGTGATCTGATCGCATCATACCGGGAACACACGGTGTATCGATGCATCCGTGTGTCAGGCACCTTGCACCAGTCGCACATTGCTGTCTTTCGAGAGTCAAACTTACACTGGGCACTGTTTGTAAAGAAAGCACCATCACGCACGATCATAAGCTGCTCAACCTCAGCTGGCTGGAAACGCCCGTCAAAGGCTGTTGTAAGACCTAAGTCAAAGCCCTCCAAATCTTCATAGCCAGCACGACACTGCACCTGACTAGCGACATGGTTTTGAAAGTGGCTCAAAAGCACCTTCTGCAACAAAGTCTCAGAAACCTGAAAAACCTGCACAAACGCATTGTTTGAAAACCAGAGTCTGCCATCCGCATCGATATGGAGACCCAAGGTATTGAGTTCACTTTGGACCTTGCCAAATGGTCCATTGGTGTCTGCTCCTGCAAGCTGGTCACAGTAAATACCCCACCAAGCCCTCAGAGTGGGGTTTTTGGAACACTGCTGTTTGAAAAGTTTGAGCACCCTCCAAGTTTGTTGCCAAAAAGGATCCAAGTCATAGTGCAGCAAGCCCAAACGAATGTGAGGCGAAGCACCAGGTCTGTCCCATCGCAAGGCCTTCATGGCACCAGATCTGAGTTTTGCAAGATGTGTAGAACCCAAGGCGACGGCTTCAATGCCATGGAGAGCCCGAGGCCACAAAACTTGCTTGATATTGAGCATCTTGGCTTTCACCGGCAAAGGCGCAGTGCGCAGTTTTCCAAAGTACGGTTGGACACTGGCGATCCGATCCGTGAGGATTTTGTTTCGCAACTGCTTTGAGTATATGACTTGACCTCCAAGGTCTCTGTCCCCAAGGCTGATGTGAAACCCCCTTGATTTGAGTTCACGACGCCCAGCATAGGTAGAAGCCCAAGCATAAAGACGAGGGTGGTCGATTTCCAAGTCCAAAAGGGAACAAAACTGGTTTTGAGCTTCGGCCGCACACACCAGATCATCAACACGGTCACAAACCAACTCAAGGTTATCAACAAAGCTAACAGGGAGCACACGAGGAACCCGGGAACGCATGGCCCAGTGCCAAAAGAAGTCCAAGGCAGTCATTGCAGCGCAGGCTAAAGGGCACCCTTCAGGGAACCCAGTCACTGACAACAGGGGTTCGCTGACACACCGATTGACAACGAAAAACCTCTCAAAGACGGACAAGTGTGCTTGCCATGTTTTGAGAAACCACTGTGGAACTCCAAGAACTTCAAGGCACTTGAAAGTAGGTCGCCTAGGAAGTGTGTTGTAGGCCTCGACAAGATCGGCCACAATTCCATGGACAGGGGTAGACTGGTGAGTGGAGAGCTCCAAGCAAACCCCTATGAAGAACCACACATCCGATGCCTGACGACCCTGCATGAAACCACATTGCATCTCATCCGCAGCTTTGGCCAGCTGAGACAAAATCTGACCCGCACGAATGCCAGCAAAAAGTCGATAAAAGATGCTGGTGACAGTGATAGGACGGTACCCATCAACTGAGACACTGGAGTCTTTCTTTTGCAAGCAGTGTATAAGCCCAATGCACCATTGACGAGGCCAGGCATGTCCAGCTTCAATCATATGATATCCATCAAGGATCTGTTGGATTTGGCCATCAGTAAGGTGCGCCAAATCCGCTCTAGTCCAGCCACAAGGGCCGGTGGCCGCTCTGGGTTTAAAGGAATGCACGGCACGTTTGAAGTCTTGGACAGTGATAGGAGGAAGCTCTATCTGGCCAGCTGGCAAAGTGTCAACAGCGTAGCGACAAACGTCGTCCCAGGTGGCTTCGGGAACTTCCGCATGGCGATTCCAACGTGGAGACCAAAGCTGATGAAGTCGATCATGAATCTCTTCAGGAGATGTGGTCATGGTATGACAAGAAAGGGACTGACCCGAGGCAAGGACAAGATCCGATTCAACTTGATAAACATCATCAACAACTCTGACCCGAGCTGGAAGGCCCTGCAAAGTCCACGTGGCCGTGTCAGTGACATGGTAAGGCTCGGGAGCACGAACCAAATTGTGCCTAGTGTCAACAACATCAATGGGTTGGGATTGGGTATCGACCAAACAGTCCAAAGGGGCTTTAGCAGGCTTGCGGGTACAAGCATACAGTGCCTGTGAGGTGGCAATCATTTTGTTTCTGCAGCTTTCCCGACGACGCTGCAGTTGCCAATGCTCATAACGCCTGTAGTTTTGAACAAAGTCATCAAAGACCAGTTGTGCAACGCTCTGACCGGGAGGAACGACAGGCAGGGTGCGAGGAGCACCTTGGTCTTGATAAGGCCGATGTGACCACCAAACAGGGAAACCACCACAAAAACCAGAAGCACGCCTGACAGAATTCCACAAGGCAGCCCTAGAGAAATAAGTGTCCCCAACCCGGGATGATTTGACAGCATGACAGTAAGATTGCAACCTACGCATCTGTTTATACCAAGCCGCAACCGAACGGTTCAGGAACCCCGAAGCAGGCGCAAGTTCTCCTGGGCGCGGAGGCTTAATGACCGGTGCATGGGTTCTTCTGGGTTTAGGCCTAGTAATCGACCCTCGGCCAAAGAAGCTTCTGTCATGACGACCGACCGAAGTGGCCACACATTTGGAAACCTGCTCTTCAAATGACGCACTCCATCGCCGAAAGTCCAAGGTAGCAGAGTGCTGTGATCCAGGGATCTCACCCGACGGAACAGTAGCCAATCCGGCACGCACCACATGTGACGGGTTTGACTGAAAAAGAGGACCCCAGTCAGGAGAAGAAATCCACTGATCTTGATGCACCTTTTCCCACGGAATATGGCCAGGGAGACGCCACTGAGGTTCCACAACACGGACAGGTGGGAAAAACAACCCCGCAATGAGAACCTGATGGTCAGGAAAGATATTCCAAAAAGCAACATTTTGAACCAAGGGAACAACCTCAGGAGAAAGCCAAATCTGGTCAGGTGAAGTGGCACTTTTGCATGTAGCCCGCTTTGGAATGCCATACTTCTGGAACATCAGATCCTGCAGTTCTATCCATCCACAGGATTGCCAAAGTTGCATTTGACGCAAGGAGCCAGCAGGGCAATTCATATCGCCAAGGATAACCCGGTACCCAGAACGTCCCAAAACAAGTTCCTCAGTGATTGGGGTGAGCAAAGATTCACTGAGTTCCACTGCTCGAGGATAGGTTGGTCCCTTGGGGGGAAGATACACCGTGGCACTCACCAGTTCAAATCCATGAACATGTGCGGCCGTCAAAAGCACCCGCCCACTGTCATATTCGCCGGCAGGCCAAAGACCAGGAACTTGTCTCATGGCACAATCACCGAAGTTCAGAACCCCAGTCCATGACCCAGCCTGTTGTGAGCCAGGCCGCAAGGCCGCTGGTGCTCCCAAAGTGCTTCTGATGTTCCTGTGTGAGCGGCAGGAAAGGGAACGGAGATAGCTCTGGAGAGCACACTGCTGATATTTGGAGGCCTGGGTTTCAGCCGCATGCCACCAACCGACAGGGAAATAGTCCAACATATGGAACTTGTTAGAAATTCCAGAAGGATTGAACGTGCCAAGACAAAACGCAGGAGTCCCCGGCAAAGTCCACTCAGGGGAATCAACAAAAGAGTCAACGCCCTCAGGCGGGCCAGGCACCGCAGCTTCACCAATCCGACAAAAGTGCGCACAGAAGAAAATCAAAAAAGTCCAAAGACGAAAAATCCAATTTGAAGGCCTCAACCGGGTGCAGGGCGCCCTCCCAAATCCAAGCGAGGGCCCCTTGAGACCTAGTCACGAGTGACGTGCCTTCTTTGCAAGCATGGCCTCGATGGCTTCCTGCTGCTTGGTGAAGTACGAGTCAAGATGCTTGCCCAAATCGGTCTTAAGTCCAGAGACCTCGGTTGAAACGTTCTGCAAGCTGCTGGTGCATTGGCTCACTTCATGGGCGACCTGCTGCAAAGTCTGACCTTGAGAAAGGACTGTCATTTGAAGCTGTCCACATTCCTGCTGCAAGCCATGAATCTTTGAGCTGCCGTCTTGAACCCAATGCTCAAGCTTCGTCTGGTTTTCAACCAAGCTTTGAATCTGGCTTTCGACTGCGGTAAGACGAAGGTCAGTGGCTGGATGCTGCGGAAGTTGGTGAACTTCCTGGGTAACCGTTTGCTTGACATGTTCATGAAGTCGTGATTCAACATCCTCCAACCTACTTTGGACATGCTGTGTCGGAACAGCGGCAGCTTTTGTGGTCTTGGCATAGCCTCCCCATGGGTCTGGGCCAGTTTGCCAAGGATCTGCAGTGCCTGAGGAGGAACTGGCTGACGCCTCCTGAATGTGCTTCTTTGTTCGCATGGTGGCAATCAGGCCTTGTGGTTTGGCAACTGGAGTTGCATCCTTGACCTTTGAAATTCCTATCCAACCCTGCTGGGACTCAATAAAGGGCTTTGGGGGCTCTGATTCCGCCCCAACCTGCCATGCTTGACCCTGGCTGCCTTTGCATGGTTGCAAAGGCTTCGCATTCCAGCCAAAACTGCGAAGGATCTCCACCAAGGATGTTCGCTGTGTACCTGCAGGAAGAGGCTCAAGACGATACACTGCTTTGACAGACACATGGACAAAAGGCCGGGACGGGCACAAGGTCTTGTGCAGCTCTTCTTGGTGTTTGACCAAACAACGAATGCCATACTTAAGTCCAAGCCGGCAGACAGCAACACAATGATCCAAGGTGCGCACTCGGTGCTGCGCATCACTCAATCCAATTTGTGGAACCCAAATGACCGCAAAAGCATCGTCCGGGCCAGGTGAGTCAGAGCTGCGGGGTTCAAAAAAGACACCTTGTGTACCTGAGGATCGATGGACCTGGTCAAAACTGGACTCTGGAACCCTGACATAAACCGAAAGAACTTCAGCCTGTGCTTGAGGCTGCTTTGACCCGTCAAGACCATGCCAACGAAAAGCCCACACATCAACAAGTCCACTCTCTACTCCTTCCTCTTCAAGAGACGGATGAAATAGGGAGCAGTGATGATCACAGTCAGCATCTTTGCAAAGTCGAAAAATGGGAAAAGCCTGAACCAACGACCGAACTGGGTGACCAAGGAACTCATCCCAGTCATGTTCCTGCTGCCAAAGGTCCTTGAAGACATGGACACGGAAGACACGAGTTGGACAAACAGTCAAAGACGGGGCATCTTGACTAGTCTTGCGATAAACAGCCTGGTCACCTAGCTGAATGGAAGTGCAATCCAAAATCACTGGTTCATTGGTTCCCTTGTAAATGGCTGGAACCCGCAAAGAATGCATAGGCAATGACAGGGGAGTGTGCTCAGGCATCTGTCCCACAACAAGCAGAGCGAGGCCCTCTTGGCTGATCATTTTTCCATCGGCAAGAAAATGCTGCACCGCATCAGGAGATGCAAAGGCGATACCTCGAGCGTCTTTCTGAACCTCATCAAGCTGAAGTTGTGGGAGAACAGAACCACAATTGGTGATGAACAAGTCCGGTGGCAACAAAAGAGAAGCCGGATCCAAATATCTGGACAGCACAGGTTCCCTACGGCTTGCCTTTTTGGCGGGCTTCTTTTGATCCACTGCTCCAAACTTGGTCTGGGCCCTGTCCTGTATATGCTGCTGCAATTCATGATGTTTCACCCACAAAAATGGCTTGGGTTTTGAGTTGCCCAGGCTTTTCAACGACGCCCAAACATTTTTGTTCTGCACGGCTTGCTGCAGGGCCTTTGTGCCAAAGAGTTTGATGGCTGCTTGGGCTCTGCTGCGCACCTCAGTGTCAGGAACGCCCTTGGACGGCAGGATCTGTTCAAGGGTTTTGATGATGGCCTCTTCTTCAGTCCCAAATCCAATCGGACCCTGAAAATGCAACATGCTGCTGCAGATTGCCAAGCTGTCATGCAAGTCCTCAAAATGACATGCCTGCTCATACGTGATGGACCCAATATGGTAAGCAAAATGCGCCAAAGCAACCGTTCCACAGGAATCCAAACGAGACTGAGGAAAAATCCACTGAGTAGACACCTGCACATGCTGGGTATTCCAAGCCGAACGCAAAACCTGGACCACAGACGTGAGATCAGAAATGGATGTTTGGCAGAGACCATCAAAGTGTTCGACGCACAAAGTTTGACCATCCCGGTAACAGTGCAACACTGTCCAATGAAAGTCCACAAGTGTGAAAATCCACATGGGCGCTTCAGTTGGCTCAAAGCTTCGAAACGTGCACCGACTAAGGTCACAGGCCTGACTGCCAAGAAGAACAACCTTGATCTGAGATGATGTGATCTGCTGCTGACCCTGCTGAGCCAAGGCTCGTGCAAAATCCATCACAAATTTCACAGTGAGACCATGGCAAACCCCCCGAGAAACAGTGCGCCCAGCTGCCGGGACTGGCAACTGCATTGGCTCATGAACTTCAAAAGGCACTGTGGTTGAGACACTGGCTTCGAAAGACATCGTGTCATCCTCACTCCTGCTGAAGCGGGCTGTTCGTGCTGCCCGCAAAGCTGACACCGCAAACGATGGAAGACCCAAAGCCAAATCCACAGCTTCAAGCACAAGTCCAAGAGAACCCTTGTCACCTGCATCAAAGCAAAGTGGCAAGTAATGTTCCAGATAGGCAGGGCGTTTGGCCGCACTTTTGACACGGTAAGCAAGGTACGATGCCACACTTGACGTCTCATTTTCAGGCTCAAAAAAGGTGACCTCCAACTTGGTAGCGTCAAAACCAAAACTGACCAAATTCCAACCCCAAGACTCCCAAGTGATGGCAAACACCAAGGCACGATCCAAGGTCAACCAATCAAGAAGGTGTGATTCCATGGTACTCGGCCAAAATTCCACAACCGCCGCAGAGAAAGACGGGAGCCAGCACGTAAGGGATGCGAAATTTGTACCAGTCCAAGACAAAAGCAAATCAGAGCGCACCAGTTGGTCTAGGTGCCAAAGACCAGTGCCGCAAAAAGACTCCGACACACGCAGACTGCCAGTCCTGCCTGTCATCTGATCAAGTCCAAATCCACTCAGGCGAAGACTCAATTCAAAATCCAAATCTTCAGGTGACAGCTGCACAGTCACTGTTTGCCAAGGACGCAGACTACCGCTGGGGTCAATCTTGCTACCACATTCATCCACCAAACCCACAAAGTCAGGAATTCCAGCCCAACGCAGGAAAACGGAGCACGCCATGCAATCTGGCACCAAATGGAAAATACGAACACCCAGGTGCTCAAGCACAACAGGCACAAGGAGACCCTCGGATCTTGTTGGCTCTTGGAACAATTCCATGTGATAGCTTCGCTCCTGCAAAAAAGCCCAATCAGGCAACACAACCCCTTCACAGCTGATTTGTACCCGCACAGCACTTTGCAGAAGTGCCTCGGCACGCACCAAGTCACGTACTGTCTGAGTAGTACTGAAAGTCACCTCAGTGGTGGTACCTTGGAAAGTCAATGACAGGGTGGCTACTCCTGCAGTAGGGCTAGGCCAAACCAGGTTTCGTTGATCAAGCAACATGTTCATGTACCTTACCAAAAGCTCCCTAGGCGTCATACCCCATGGTGAGAGTCCACAATGCTTCAGGAGATGGGCATAAACCCAAAGCCCTTGAATGGGAGAGATGGCATTGCCGAAAAGAACCAACTGCGCCCTACAATCCTCCAATGTTTTCTCAAAAGGCGGAAATCCCATGATGAGCTGAAGTTCTTTCGGATGAACATGTCTAGGGGCATGTGGCCATAAGCCGGAGGTAACCTCAACTCCACGGAGTCCTTGTCGTTGCAGGCTGGATGGGCTGATGCCCTGGTCTCGGCAACCGCAAGGGCACGCATACAAAACGGAACCCCAGCTGTGCAATGCAGTCGGACATGGCTCTTGAAGGTTGAGCTTTCGATTCACTGGTCCAAAGTCGGGACAACGATAGGCTTGCAATTCAATGGGGGTCCATTGAAGTTGCTGCTCGTCCTTTTGTGGCCAAACCGGCCAAGGATCATATGGAAACAGCTCACCCAAAACTGGCATAGGCTGCAGTACAGGCAAATCTTCAAACCCAGAAAAACCAAGGCTACTAGGAACAATCAATGCAATCCATCGTGATCTACGGGCTGGCCAACACGAATGCAAATGCAAAACTTTTTGGAAGATGTCACAACCTCTCAGCTGGGCGTACTCACGAATGGCAGCCTGGGTGCTGAAATCATGAGCAGCCTCTGGAGCGCACTCCAGCAGCAATCCAGCTGTGTTCAACCAGTATGCTGCCCTTAAGACAGCAGGCAGAGTGCGGCTGCGAACAGGGATTCCAGCTGCTAGCACGGGTTGGCAGCCAGCTGCATTTTGTGCCTGGTGCATCTTATAAACTGTGTCATGGTGATCTATGTCAGCCAACAGGAAAGAGGTGGTGTGATTCATTTGATAGGAAACCGAAGCAAGGCAATTCCAATCAACCGCAGTGATCACAGACATCGAAAGAAAAGAGAAACTGGACGAGAAACCACCCAACCCACACAGGACGTCGTGAGAGGAAAGAAAGTCCAATTCCCTGGGGATGTTCACAGGCAAAGGATCATATTTTGGGTCCAAGGCAAAGATCTCATGTTGGTCATGCTTACAACCTAGCTTCGTGGCTTGGTAGAGCATCATTCTTTGGTCCATGTGACCACCAAATTGGACAACCAAGCTTGACCCAAAAGGGACATCCCGACAAACGATGTAATCATCCGTTTTCGTGATCACATCCACCAAAACATTTGACCTACACCCCGTAGGCATGTCAGTGACCGATCGAAGTTCCATGGCTAAACCGATTCTCGAACGTTCTGTTGCCTCAGTTTGACCGCTGGAAGGGGTCCGAGCCCAAACTAAGTAAACATCAAGTAAAATAGAGAAAGATTTGTTCCTGGCGATTTTAACGTTGATCCACTTCGCTTTGCCTAAAATTTCTCAACGTCCTCCCGGGATCCTGTGGGATCCTGTGGGCCGCACGTGAGTCACTGACGTCCATGTTTAAGGACACCGTATTCTCTAACGCCTCAGTGCTGAAGCGAAGATCAGACACCAGGAAAAACCCAGCATTTCCCTACAAAAAAGGCGTGAAAACACATCCCTTCTGTTGCGTTAAAGCTTCACTCCACACTCAAACAGTAGTTCTCTCCTGACTTCCAACCTCCAAACACACACTAAAGAATGGAGCTGCATGAAACTTTAATGATGGCTTTGTCACTGTCGAGAAACACCAAAAATCTGGAGAAAATCATGTTCCCCGTCATTTCATGTCAATTGAAAAAGGAACCCATGGCCAACTGAAATGGACCAATCCATATGCTTGCGCCAGGTTGCAAAGCATTTGCAAGAACATTGCTTGCAACTGCCCCTGGGGTTGCCTGCACAGCTGCCCCAAATCGAGCTGGCGCCACAAATTGCCACCTAACCTCTTGCTATTGATGGAATCTGAGAAAAAAAAACCTCTGCCGTCTAAGAATATCCTTCAAAAAGCCTGAATTCAATCAGCCTTTCCCCCCTGGCGATTCAAGAGATAGAACATCAGCCTTGAAACTCCTGGCACATCCGAGGCACATCCGACATTTTCTCCCATCCTTCAGCCAAGAAAAATCTGAAAAATCCCATGTCCCGGGCCTAACAAGTCCACACAGGGCCCATCAGCTTCCTCCCAGGCGGCCACAAAAGTTGTCTCCACCGCCTCCCATTCACCGAAGGGGCCTTCGTCCTGGCGATCTCACCCAAAAAAAAACACTCAAAAAAGCTTTATGAGGCTGTCCTTGTTAAGGGCAAAGCGCAATCGTACCTGGGTTGTGGGAGGTCAACAGAAACACAAGAGGATCTTTTGTATAGCGTGTGCATGTGTAGATGTATGCGATGTATCATGACGCCAAACCGGCCCAAGGAGTCCAAGGAGCATGGCAGTCTGCGTGAAGACCATGAACCAGCATGGATTTACCTGTCAATTGGAGGGTGCCCCTCCGGGTGCACAGAAAACTGAGCGATGTCAGGCCACCTTCGGGGCATCGGACATGGAAGCTATCTCCGATTTCAGGCTCTACTTGAAGATGGTATTTGCTCACATCCTGACCGGATTGGCACCTGATCCCAATGGCCCAAGGGTGGTGTGCTCACATGAAATAGATCTACATACTACGGTGATCTACGGTGACAGTAGCACTTCTAGGTGCACATCTGGAGACATAACAGCTTGACACAACTTGTGAATCATGATATACCTCTGTGCAGAAAATGTCAGCATCACCTGACCAGGGTCAAACCTCCCTAAGACAACATGACACAAGTGCTGAGACAGGAGCCCGAGAAAGGAGAATTTTCGTGGTTTAGGATCCCAGATTTGTGTCCTGTCGTTGTCATTGGTCCTTCAACAAAAAGAACAAAACTAGGGTTTTTGGATGTCTTCTTTGGACTCTTTGCAAAATATGTGTCGAAACCAACATGCTACTTTCATTCCTGTCCCTTTCGATAATTTTGGCCACCAGTGCCGCATCACGCCCCTAAACCAGCTGGTGAGATATCTCCAACAGACGAAGTCAGGACCAGTATGGCTCAGAACGGATCTTTCCCCACATGACAAAAACATACAAAAACAAGATGTTCAGGTTACCAATAGTATTGATGATATAATCTAGTCATGAAGTGAATCGCATCATCTGATGATATATATATATATATATCATGCGTACGCTTCAAGGACCACGCTTTATTCACACAGGAAATGAATGATTCATCCTACGGGCTCATGGCATCAGGCCGCAACGTCCGTTTTGGGGCAATTTTAATGATGGATTTTGGGGCTCCAAATTCGACTAACAAAGCTGTTTTTGAGGCCCATCATCCGGTCAAACATCAAGAAAAATCCATGATCTTCCCCATAAAAATGGTTCAATGTGGGTAAAACAATGCCAGAAACCACCCATGACTGGGAATGGTAAACATACCCCCTATCCCTATGGTGATTTGGGGCCACATTGCACCCACTTTTTTGAGACGGCCACCCCCACGGTTCTTCCCCCTGTCCTGGTCAAAGCTCAGCTGTAGCGCGTGCGCAAAGGTCTTGGTCACCGAAGGCACTGGGAGTTGCAAGCGGAGCAATTGTCCCAGACCCAGCTCCTTGGACAATTAGCTGGTGGATTATAAATTATAACTTATAATTGTTGTATCATGAAAAATTGTTGTTTTTGTTGTTATTGTTGTTTTGTCTGTTGTGTGTGTGTGTCTATGAGTACAAGTGATTAGGGGTGTATGTTCACCAATATCTTTTGATATACATCATTCTCAGGCAAAGAAAATTGCAGATCCAAACATGCGAATGATGATTATTAACATAAAGGTCCCTGGCAGATAATTTAATGCATCAAACATGGGTTGCAAGGAAACTTGCAACTTGCAACTGGTTTTTTCAAAAGGCTTGTGGCGAACCGTCCCGTAGAATCTCACAGCTTTGCGTCTTTGATTTTACAATCGAAGCGGCTTTTCCATCCATCAGGACCCAGCGCCCATCGCCCTTCTCCAGTCGTTCAACACTGAGTTCGGAGTCCATCCTGGGTGTGTTACAGGGGCTGATCTTGATCCAAGTCAGATTCACTCAGACAACAATAAACCGGAGGAGTGTCGTTCGAAATTACGGTCACCAATTTTGACATTCTCACATTGCTGGTATTCCTGCGGGCATGAAACAGCTAGCAACCATTTTGCATCCAAAATTGTTCTGCTATGTTCTGCTTGTTAACCACCTGGTTTTCCCCTCAATCCCACCACCCAAGTTCTCCAAGCAGCAGGAGCCAACCTTCTCGCACTTGGCCTTCCAAGACTTCTCCCATCTTCACCACTCCCACGGCGCTGGCAGCGGTCGATGGCAAGCTGCGCACCATGACGTTGCTGACCACCACGTCGTAGCGCCGTGTGGGTGCCATGGACACCGTGGGGGCAGGCTTGATCCACTTGCTGAGCTGATCCTGGGCTGGAATGTGGATGGCACATTGTGGGTCCTGTTCAAACCATGCGGGAAAGCCCTTCAAACCGCTTCATTCCGCAGTTCCTTCAGCCCCAAAAAAATGAGATCCTGGATACCTCACCAATTTGGAATCTCAACTCCTGGCTGCCCTAGCTCTTCCACAGTTTCCACGCCCAGCGTCCACGTCGACCTTGTGCCGCGCCTTGGGTTTGGCCGCGGTGGCCTTGGCCGCGGTGGCCGCGGTGGCCTTAGGCGCAGCTTTCGCCCTGGTGGCCTGGACGGCCGTGGTCTGGACACGCTCGACACGCTCCAGCAAAACGCCCAAGCCCAGGGAGGTGCCATCCACCAACATGTAGCCATCGCACTCCTAACAAATTGGAAGTCAATTTGGAGACATTTCAAGACCTGGATGGTCCAAATCATGATGATCTTGCTGTAATGGGATAGTATTGCGTCTCTTGAAATCAATTTTGGAAGAGGTCTGCAAGAAAAACTGTGAACACGATTGCAGCAGATGTGGAGGAACCAAGGTGGAAAATGCATGAAAAAGCACCAAACCACCCGGCTGCGCAAACATCAAGGGCTTGGGACAACTTTATCCCTACCACCCTGGCCGCCCCTGGTGGCTTTTTAGTCACCGTGTCCTGGCCATCCATTGCATGGTGTTTCACTTTCAGCCATGGTTGGTTGGCACCTTCCTGCAGAAAACTAGGCTGGCAAGCTGACGGTGGGCCATTTCTGCATGGATCAGTAAGCAATTGATAGTTGTGACTTCGGTCTTGCACAATTGATCTTGGTGGACAATCATGCCTATTTCACACTTGACTATGTCACTGGCTGTCTTCGCACACTTCAAGCCTTCTGGTGCAATGGGAGATTTTATGCTATTGCAGCAAGAACGTATACAAAATCTCCAGAACACCAGGTGATTTCGCTCCAAGTTCAGAAAAGACTCTTGCAAAGACCCTTCAATGAGCTTGCCTGACACAGCAATTTGTAAATGCGCAGAGAGGCAGAAGGCTCACCAGGGAATCCGGAAAAAAAAATAGACCCTTGTTGAGTTTGACAAGTGGTTTCCCCATTGACTGTGATCATTTGTAAAGCAACCACGGTTTTTCACCAGATCATATCCGCTGGGAAAAGAACCAACCAGGTAACCACCATTGTCTCAATCGCCTGTCGGAGAATCCATGGAAACCCATGGTTTGCCCGTGGACCAAATTGCTCCACAAAACGCATGGTTTGATTTACCCTTAAATTACCTTAATACAATTCATACATGTTACATTTCCATGTCTTGGTTGCCCAAACTATCCCATAAAACATTTCTTGGTTTAAGTGTAACCAATAAGTATCCCAACAAGTTTCTTGGTTTGTACAAATTATCCCAATGCATTTCTTGGTTTAGCCAAGCTATCCCAGTAGAGTTGTTGTTTTACCCAAACTATTTCATGTTCCTATCCTCAGCTGTCACACACTGATTTGTTGCAATTTTAAGAGTTTGCTCTGGCATGAACATGTTTGAATTTGCCCTTGGATGATGTTTGAATTTGGCCTTGGATGGGCTTCAACTGGAATATGCTCCTGCTCCAATGGGAAATAATGCATGGTCGGGTAAAGTCGCCCGCTCCGATATTTTTCTTTTGAGGGTTACACTCCAGCAAAACCTAATAGAAACGCATTCCAATGAGTTTTCCCATTCTTGCGGGAGAGATCCAAATGCAAAAAAGTGTGGGCTGTGCTACTGCCCTGTGTTGTTGTCAAACGGTTGCAAAGCGCAGTGTGGTGATGTCTTTCAAACAAGGGGCCACCCAGTTTC